GGTATTTTTTGTATTTTTGTTTGTTTTTATTTGGTGTTTTTAATTGTTTTTGGTTTCGTTTAGTAGTCTCCCTATTGGTCATTGGGGCGGTCTGTGCGTTCTCGAAGATTTTCGCATTTCGAACACGTCGCAAGAATACCGACAATACCCCCTCTAGCACCTCAACGAGAGGGCTGCACACATTAGAGGTGGCGTAAATCGGTTTCTCGCGACGTGTTACCCCTATATCTGATAGAAAATTGACGAGTTTTGATGAAAGATTTCTGCTTAAAAGTTGGTGTGTGAGGGCAACGTGCTTAGAAAGCGTGCAAAGAACTTGCTTCTTCTGCATTCCAGCAGAATGGCGTGCTGTCTTCTCAACACAGCAGACATACGTGTCGTGCTAATCTTCAGTCTTTATGCTGCAATCTAACGTCATGATTGAATCCTACTCGTTGTCTGTATTTGTGGCTTTTACGCCGAGAGATTTGGTGCGGCCATGGCATCTCAGCTGTGCTTTGTGAGATGCTCCGATTACAAAGAACATTGGCACATGAAGATTACCAAACATGTCCGTAGAAGTTGGAGCGTCAAGAAGAGAAGTAGGTGTAAGAGCGAGGATAAGTATGACTGAAGGTCGCGAGTACAGTTTCATCAGCTCACATTCTACTATAGCAATCAAATCAAGCATTCTACCGCAGCAATCCCCTCTAACAAAACTTACCTATTCCTCATATAAGATATCCAAACGTTCAAAGCACGTGTAAGCTACACCAAAAATGGTGTCCGCCCTCATCCGGGATGCCCCGATTGGGCAAATCCTGAGATATCTCACCAACAACCGCATCCTCAAATACCCAGAAGAACTTCCAGACTTCGTAATACCCGCAGCATACACCCGCCATACCCGGCTTCCTAAGCGTCTGGTCTCAGACGCCAGTCGCGACCCAGAAATCGAAGCAGAGGGCCCTGCAACCGAAGAAGTGTGCGAGCCTGATCCAGAGAAGCCATTGGAGGAACAACCATCAGAACCCGAAGACTCGGCGACCGACTTGGAAAAGATACAAACAGCGCGAACACAGCATACGGCGCGGACACAGATCTCTCGCGTAGGAACACGAACAGCGCTGCACAAGTCAATCACCCAAGCAGACCTTGAACAGCAGTTCTCCCTAGCATCGGTAGAGCGGGGCCCCAGTCGCCCAATCGAGCCCGAGACACTTGACGATGGCACGATATTGGTGGACTGGTACGACACGGACGATGAGTCGAACCCGCAAAACTGGTCGTTTGGCAAAAAGGCCCTGGTCCTTGGCCTGATACTCATGTACACCATGGGCGTCTACATGGGCAGTGCAATCTACAGCCCCAGCATACCGGGCGTCATGGCGCGCTTCGGCGTGCAAATTGGTGCTGCTTCTCTCGGCCTCTCCGTGTACGTGCTGGCCTATGGCATTGGACCTCTTTTGTTCTCGCCCCTGAGCGAGATACCCATCATCGGGCGGAACCCTCCATACATTGTTTCGTACGCCATCTTCGTAATTCTGCTGGTACCCACGGCGCTCGTCGACAACTTCGCAGGGCTCATCGTGCTCCGCTTTCTGCAAGGCTTCTTCGGAAGCCCGTGTCTGGCAACGGGCGGCGCAACACTGCAGGACATGTACAGCCTGATGAAGCTGCCGTACGTGCTTTCGCTGTGGGCCTTTGCCGCAACCTGTGGACCAGCTCTAGGCCCCATCATCAGCGGCTTCAGTGTCGCAGCCGAGAACTGGCGCTGGTCGCTGTGGGAAATGCTCTGGATGAACGGCCCCATCTTCCTCGCCCTCTTCTTCTTCCTCCCTGAAACCTCGTCCGCTAACATCCTGCTCCGCCGCGCCCAACGCCTGCGCCATCTAACAGGCGACTCGCGTCTCCGCAGTCAGTCTGAAATCGACCAAGCCAGCCTCTCTCCGCGCGCCATCGCCATCGAGGCCCTCTGGCGTCCCTTTGAACTCATGCTGCTCGACCCTAGCATCGCCTTTACCGCCGTCTACACGGCAATCATCTACGGCATCTTCTACTCCTTCTTCGAAGCCTTCCCCCTCGTCTACAACGAAATGTACCATTTCAACCTCGGCGAGCTCGGCCTGACCTTCCTCTCCGTCACCGTCGGCGTCGTCATAAGCATCGCGTGGTACTGGTGGTACATCTATACCCGCGTGGAACCCGGCATCCGGCTGCATGGTCTCGGGGCTCCAGAGCGCCGTCTGATCCCCGCCCTCTTCGTCACCTTCCTGGTCCCCATTGGCCTCTTCATCTTTGGCTGGACCAGCCGCCCGGATATCCACTGGATCGTGTCCTGCATTGGCATCGTCCTTACCACCATCGGCATCTTCCTGCTCATCCAGTGCATCTTTCTCTACCTGCCGCTCGTGTATCCTCAGTACGCGGCGAGTCTGTTTGCTGGAAACGATTTCACAAGGAGTGCGCTCGCCGCTGGTGCAATTCACTTTTCATACCCGCTTTTCCATAATTTGGGCGTGGGCCGCGGCGTCTCGTTGCTGGCGGGCTTGTCTGCGGGATGTAGTGCGGGTATCTACGTGCTATTCTTCTTTGGGGCCAAGTTGAGGGCTAAGAGTAGGTTTGCTGCCAAGTGAGACTGCCCTTATATATTATGCAGTTTGATCGTTGTGCGATAGGGACGGCGCATAGGACGGTGCACAATATGGCGTTGCGTCTGATGCTTTGTACTCTAAATCAGAAAGTTAATGTAAAATCAAATTCCACTATTTTCAGACTAAGTGTTAATCTAATGTACAATGATTACATTAGTAATGTAATTGGGATTGACTAGCCTGCTCCAAGGCTGTAAATCTATATGGGTATCATATTCATCCATGATTGACTTCTCTGTTTCATAGCTAATTCATCACCTTAAATATTTGCCTTGTTTGTTTACTACCAGTAAACACCAAGCCATCCACTACTCCTGACCCCAGGTATCGTCGTCGCCCACTAGTCCCACAATCTCCACGCCCTGCTCCTCTTGGAACGTGACTTGCTTGTTCTTACCTCTCTTTTTCTTTCCCTTCTCCTTATTCCCGGATCCGTCGCCCAAGGGATTTCCATCTTCGTCAATGCCAGCCAGTTCTCTCTGCCGTTTTCTTTCCTGAGCCTCGACCTTCGCGGCTGCTATGCGCTCCCTGAATTCGGCTTCTTTCGCAGCCATCTGTCGCTTAATCTCATCAGCATCCGCAAACGATTCTTCTGTCTTGTTCGATTTCTCAAGGAAAACACCCCAGCCGCCATTGGTAAGTTCACTACGACCTTGCAGTGCTGCCTTGACGCCTTCGGGATTTTCGCGCTCTTCGCGAGTGAACTTTGTTTTGATGGAGCGTCGGGTGAAGCCTGGGAACATCTGGGATATCATCTGAAAATCTGTGCCAAAAGACCTGAGACCTTGGTAGAAGAGTTCTGTAAGCTCGCTGTTCCAGCGACGTCCTTGCCCTGGCAAGAGAAACTCATTGGGATGGCGCTTGTTGTTCTTCATAAAGCTACGAGTCGTTATACGGGCTGTGATGTCCTGGTCTTCAGTGACAATCATTGCATCCAGCTCCTTTTCCGCGTCACCCTCTCGGTCGATGGTCCCAGAGTCGGGTACTAGCTCCATGACGCCATCCGCGTTGAGTCGAAGTTGAGGACCTCGCTCGGCTTGCGCAGCGAGCTCTGCTCCTGCCTCAGCTAAAGCCCTGTCGGCGGCTTCCTGTTCTGCTTTGGAGAAGATGGGCCTTGAATCTTCCTCTCTGCGACGCTTTTTGACTGCTTCCCAATCAATCGTGCGCATTTCCTTCTCCCTGGCAGACAACTTTCCCCAGCGGACTGAATGAGCGGCAAGGGAGTCCATGTAAGTGTTGTCGGGGTCAATGACCCGGTCTTCTGCGTCTGATGGGGTAGCTTCGCGCGGCGGTCGCCCCTTTCGTTTCTTTTCTTTTCTCGTGCCGTCTTCACCCTCAATTCCGTCAATTTCTTCACCCTCTGGAGTCGCCTGTCGTCTTCTTCGGGGCTTGGGCTTGCGTTTTACGGCAGCCGCTACAATCTCGTCGGCAATGCGTCCTACTTCGTTTTCGAGCCCTTCAACCACTTCGCTGCTCAATGCAACCTTTGGCTTCCTGGGTTTCCTCGCTTTCTTTGGCGGAGCTGCAGCATCTTCGCCGTCCTGTGTGGCAGGCTCGGTCGTCTTCTTCTTTGCGCGTGGACGAGGCTTTTGGCCGGGTGCAGCAGCAGCCGCTTCTTCATCGCCCTCGGCAGGGTGATTAACCGCTACCCAAGGCAACTTCCTCCTCTTTCGCGGCTGTGGAAGAGCCTGTGGGTCACTGGGGTGTCGTGCATTGTCGGCGGTCAGTGGCTCTTCTTCCTGAGATGCGGCGGCGGCGGGGGGCGCATCGACAGGAACGGCGGTTCCAAGCGCTGACTGTTGCTGTGGGCCTTGTTCGCTCTCGTGTTGACTTGGTGTGGCGGGTGGTTCTATGCGCCGTCTCTTGGGCGATCTGCCGGCGTGGATGTCGTCTTCCAGGTACTGGGTAGTTAGGCCTTGGGCTGTCAGAGGCTGTACAGCAGCATGGGAATTACTGTCGGCTTGTGACTGGAGACGTGGGCTTGCAGCGGCGGTCACTACAGGCGCGGGCGCAGGGGCAGGTGGCGGTTCCACTGCAGGCTCCTGGGTCGCAAGCGGAGTAGGTAGCTGGGCAGGGGTCGAGAACTCGGCAGGTGCATTGGAGGACACGGATGGTGCATTGGAGGACTCGGGCTCAGGCTGCGAAGTTTGGGGCACGGCAGTGGATGCAGGAGTCTCTGGCGCAGACGACGCAGGCGTAGAGGCTGGGGCAGCGGGGACAGCGGCGGCGCCTGGTCTTCTGCGCGCAGCCTTGGGCGCAAACTTCTTGCCCGTCGTATTCTCTAATCAAGGCTTAGCCCACTTCGGTGCTTTTGCACGGGGGACGACGACGGCAACGCACTGTTGATGAAGGAACTGAACGTCGCGGCTGGCTTGGGCGCGGCAGCGGAGGCAGAGGCAGCGGGCGGCTGGCTGGAGGCGTCGTCGGCCGACATGGCGAGAGAGCAGGATGGCTGGCCAGTCCAAGCCGGGGGTCCGGGGGGGGGCGATATTGGCCACTATCGAGCTGGCAATTTCTCTCACATGGGGTGGATTGTCCGAGCACGAGAGCAAAAGAGAGAGCGTGGGCGCACCCCCAACACAGACCAGGCTGCTGCTAGCGCGGCACTAGCCACCGTCTTGGCACCCAAGCAACTCTCTTCGCTCGACGGCTGCCCACCCTCTCCTCACCTACCACGGCCTCCTCACACGACACGTAACCACCCTCCCCCCCTAGCCGCCGCATCTCGACCGCCAGTCGCCGCCCGTCTGCTCCTTCATGGTCTGAACGCGCGCCCATTTCTCGGTGCCCCCTTCAGACAAAGGCGGCGTCACCTCGATGAGGCTCGAAGCCAGGACAGTCGCACCCCCATCGCTTGACCCTGTCAAGATGGAGGACCGCAAACGGCCCATCGCCGACGACGCTGCGCCTCCCGCAAAGCGGCAAGCCGTGGCGGTCAACGGTGCTCGCTCCCACCCTGACGCTGACCTGCCCTGGAAAGATGACCTTGAGGTTCGCTCCCCGATGCCCTCTTGCCCTCGCTCCCGGCCCCCGGCGCTTCCCCCCGCTGACACTGCTACGCTACAGGCTTTCCAGAAAGATGCCATTCTGCGCCAGATGCGCGAGTTCAAACGCGAAAAGGCCACGGTCGAGTCACAACTGAGCGAGTTGGAGGGCCGCTCCAGGCACCACGACGACCATCTGCGAACAATTGATGCTTGGTTTGATCAGGTCAGTATACTCCCGGAATTTGATTGAGGTGACGCTAATGCCTTCTTAGCTTATCGATGAAATCAAACTCCGGGGGGCTGACCAGCTGCCGACATCGTCAGCCGCTTCGGAATCCGCTCCCTCGGTCCCTGGTGCCCTGCTCTGCCAAGATAATGCCACGTTCAAGGAGCACCTGTCCAAGCGCAGGGAAAAGATTCTTTCTGCCCTCTCGCAGCTGTTTGCCAAGTTTCCTGCTGCCAGTCCCGAGGTTGCGCAACTTCAGAAAAAGCTCTCAGAGCTGCTAGCCAGCGAAAAGGAACATGTCATTCGACTCCAGCGGGTGGCCACGGAAAAGGAGCAACTGTCTGACCGGCTGGACACGGCTACGCACCGCTACCTTGTTGCTGAAAAGAAGCTGGACCGGCTAAAAAGCGCCCAGGTGCAGAAGCTCGAGCAGCAAGCAGTCGGGGCCAGTGCTGGGGCGAAAGAGGAGGCTCCGTCAGCGGGCAACGGAACAGAGGCGGTGAACGGCACGTCGCCCGGGCCCATTAACGAGGAGCTGGAGACTGCAAAGAATCAGGCCATAGCCGAGGCTGCCAAGCGGAAAGAACATCTTGAGCAGATTGAGCAGGAAAACAAAAAACTGACTGAAGAGTTGACGGCATTAAAGGTGAAGCTTACGGGGCTTTCGGATGATGACTATGCCAAGACGGATCTGTTCAAGGCAATCAAAAGCCAGCACGAAGACGTGATTAAGCGCATCAACAACCTGGAAGCACAAAACATTTCGTTGCGGGAAGAAGCGCAAAAGAACCAGGCGGAGCGGACGGCGTATCGGATCAAGGTTGATGAAGAAGTGCGCACAACGCTGGCGGAGCATGCGAGCCACGTTTCGCAAGCAGAAGCAAACTGTGCGCGGATTCGAAACGCGCGTGATGAGCTGGTTAGCAAGAACCACGTCTTGGAAGCCAGCCACAAGGATTCCAAGGAGTCGATTGAGCAGTCGAAGCAGCTGGTGAGTGCGTGCGACAGTCGAATTGCTGCGTTGGAGTCGGAATGCGAGCGACTGCGGGTGCAGATTGGCGAACAGCAGGCATGCATGGGCCAGCAAGGCGCGGAGCTGGACGACTTGACGCCCGAGCAGCTACGGGCCAAGGTGTTGAAACTGGAGAGCCAAGCACGGCTGCTGAGCAACGAGCTCCCGGCAATGGAAGCAGCATGGAAGAAGGCACAAGCGATTGCGAGCAAGAAGATTGCCGAGATTGCTACATGGGAAGAGAACATTGCCAAGGCCCACGCGGACAAGGCCAAGGCGGACCAAAAGTTTTTTGCAGCAATGAAGACGAAGGGAGAGCTAGAGCAGCAAATACGGATTCTTCGGGCGCAGTCTACGAAAGCCACGGAAGTGGTTGCGCATACGAAGGAGGCGGACTCACTCAGCCGGTCACTGGTGGACAAGCTGGAGAAGCAGACGGCGGAAATGCGGTCGCAGATGGACGATCTGTCGATGCAACACCGGCAGCTGCAGCAAAAGGTCAGCGAGAACGCGATTACGTCGGAGGGCCAGGTGGGCCAGATAGCGGAGCTCAAGAAGCTGGTCGAGGCCAAGGACGCGACGTGTGTAGCAGCCAAGCACGCACAGCGCGAGGCCGAGACGGAGCGCGACAAGCTGGCGGCGCAAGTGAGCGGGCTGGAGAAGCAGGTGCACATTTACAAGAAGAAGAGCACGGCCAACCAGAGCACCGAGGTGTCGACGATGGAGCTGCTGATCCAGTGCCAGATTTGCAAGAGCAAGCTCAAGAACACGGTCATCAAGACGTGCGGGCACATGTTCTGCGACCAGTGTGTGCAGGACCGGCTGACGAACCGGGCGAGAAAGTGTCCCAACTGCGGCAAGGCGTTTGGCAGCAACGACACGATGCGCGTACATTTGTAATAGCCACGACTCGGTCTTGGCCCTCTCTTTTTACTAGACATTGTGTCATGTACATTACCGGCATTTGTTCGAGTGCTCTTCCTTTTTTCTGTCTCTGTCTGTCTCTCTCTCTTACCATTTCAGCAGAGCGTTGAGGGCAAATGTGGAGACGAGGCACCCCGCGGTGCCTTGGATGCGTTGGCGTTTTTTTTTCTATTATTTATTTCTTGATTGATTCTGGGACGGGTCGTGGGTGCTTTCGATATATAGCGTTGGTGTTTGGCAGAAGGGGGAGCATGTACGATGAGAGCTGTGATGCATGTTCAGAACGACATGGGTTTGCATGTTTTGGTAGATGGCCTGAGCCGAGTTTGACGGTCAGGATGTTTCAATGGGCGTGGGCTAGATCAGCATGATAGGTTCTATGGCGTTGGGGAGAGATGCGAGGGAGAGAATGCCAAAGCAAGTCGTCTGGGAGAGTGTTTGTGCCGGCCAAGGCGAGTGGAATGCTGTGACTCACTGCGGGCGAATGTGCGCGCGCAGCCAACCACGCGACGGCTGCGAGAGAAGGGCATGTTGAGCCGAGCCATGACGTGCACGCGGCGTTGCCCCACGCGACCCGTTGACATGAACACTTATGGAAACGGCGACTATACCACGACACGTGCACGCGTCAAAGACTGCCAGGGACCGTCCTGTTTGCATATAAACCGGCTGCATTCCACTCTTTGCCCGTGGAAAAAACAAAACACAACAAGGCAGCCCACGCAGACCCTGAAGCTAGTCACACAATTACTGTACTGTACTGTACTGTACATCTACTGCACCCAATGGCTTCCAACGTCCTTGGCGCCCGCGACACCAACGCGCACATGCGGCCCATGCGCTCGCCAGAAAAGGCCGACATGAAGAGCCTCGACTATCATCGCCAGGTGCTCCAGTCGCGCCTCAAGGATAAGCAGTAAGTTTGATATCAATGGGCCGAGGACGCCAAGTAGCGCGGCACTAAGAGGCAGCCAGAGAGCCCAAGTACGTGTCGCCATCGGACGACATCATGAGCCCCGCCACGCAGAAGCTGCAGGCGTTCAAGAACAAGCACGCCATGAAGAAGTAAGTAGGCGACAGCACCGTGTGCCCAGATGCAAAAGCCGACGGGGGCTGATTCATCTTGCAGATCGAAGCCACAGACGCTGTTCAAGAAGACGAGCTCCAAGAACCTCGAGGCGGCCAAGAACAGCGGCAAGCTCGAGTTTGCTGATATTCCCAAGCGGGAAGCGGACGAGGGGCAGGCAGAGACGTAGGCTGTGCACTCCCTCCAGCGGCGTGCAGAATGGCGACGGGATACGAATTTCTTTTGGCGCACCGGCACAGACATGTATACTTACTTACTGATACCCTTTTTTCCCGGTGGACTGGACTGGATGGTGGGCATGGGCTCTGTCTCTTGGATGGATGGATGGATGGACTGGGCCTGGGTGCCTGAAAGGGCTAGCTATGAATCATGACGTTTGTTACATACATACATGGTTGATTTGGCCGTTGCCGCCGAGACGTCCTGATACTTACCAGCTGAGAGTGGAAATGTCGCCAAGCCCCGCCCTGTACCCGTCCGCTACTTAGCTGCGTCTCCTTCTCGACCCACAAAAATGAAGGCACCCCAACACCAACAAGACCAAGACGCTCTCCACGACGAGATTGCCGACCTCGAGAGGCGTCTGCACCATGCAAAGGCCCGCCTGAACCCCGCCGCCCCCGTCGCGACGCCGCCGTCGCCGCTGAGTGAAGCTGGCCATGTTCCACGTCACCACCCATGGGCCGCTACCATGGACCACGACACGGCTCTCCACGCCCTCCTGCTGCTTGCCGACTCGGCCCTCCCCTTAGGATCGTTTGCCTTTAGCAGCGGCCTGGAGTCGTATCTCGCCCATCACAAGCCCGTGACGCCTTCGGCCTCGCAGCTGCCGGCCTTTGACACGTTCCTCCGCCTCTCGCTCTCGACGCTTGCCAGCACCTCGCTCCCCTACGTCCTCGCCGCCTACCGTGACCCGGAGCTCCTTGAGTCGCTCGATAATGACTTTGACGCAAGCACCCCGTGTACCGTTGCCCGGCGTGCGAGCATAGCACAGGGACGCGCCCTGCTGGCCGTTTGGGACCGTAGCTTCCGCGCCCACTACGACGCCTCCAAGCATCATCCAACCGAATTTGGCCCAAGCCCACAGGACGATGCTGTCAGGGCACTTGGGGCCTTTTCCGCTGCCCTCCGCACCTCGGAGCACTTGAATGCGCACCTCGCCCCCCTGTGGGGCCTCGTCACGAGCATTCTGCATGTCCCGCTGCAGCAAGCCGCCTACCTGTTTCTGTTCTCGCATGCCAGGACCGTCATTAGTGCTGCGGTGAGGGCCAGCGTCATGGGGCCGTATCAGGCGCAGGCGGTGCTGGCGAGCGCAGAGCTGCAGGATAGAATTCGTGGTCTGGTGGACGAGGGCTGGGACAGGACGGTTGAAGAGGCGGGACAGAGTGTGCCCGTCATGGATCTCTGGGTCGGCAGACACGAGAAGCTGTATTCGAGGATTTTTAACTCGTAGATGTGTGTCGAGACAGATAAATCACGTATGAATGTATCATGGCTGCTTTCTATCTGACCAATGGCTCCTGATCTGGATACAGTTGAATCATCTCAAGTCCCAAGTTTCTGGTGATTTAGGGTGATTGTGATTCGACCAGTAGCATCATCACAGCCTCGTGCCTTGTCCATTCCCGCTTGAGCTTAGCGTGTGCCGCATGACAACTGCAGACAGCATCCGACATGGCAGACACTGATACACCTCTGCAGGAAGCATTACTAAATAAACGGCTGAGTGCCATGCATATACGACTTGACTTCACCTAACACTGCAGTGCTGGTACCATACTCCTTTCGACTCTAGTCAATGGTTTCAGGCGCCCTTCTAACACCATACATCAACCTGCGGTGAACGACCCGAGGCTATGGAATAGAACCCCCCGACTACAAATTAAACAAGTCGAGCGTACAATCTACTCTTCTCCCTCGCCTCTGCCTCCGTCTTCTCCTTCATCCTCATCCTCATCCTCATACCCCAAATCCCCATCCCACTCGCCCACCCCACTCCCACCACTCTCCTCCCACCACCGTATCCTCTCCCTCACACTCATCAACGCCTTGCCCAGCAAATTCAATCCCCAGTTCGCCCTCTCCCGCTCCGCCTCCCACTCATAGAACCCAATCCCCCACACGCGATCCCTGCGCCCAGCCTCGACCAACTCAGCATCCCCCGTGCCCAGCAACACGGCCCTCATCCGCGCATTCTCGGCATCCATGAATTTGCAGTAGTTGACTACGCGCGCCACACGTTCGCGTACCAAGCACCACGCTGCGTCGTCGTACCCCGGCACCCCGCGCCCCAGCTGCTTGTGCTGACTTGGGTACCGGGCCTCCATGATGGACGTGCAGAAGAGCTCGCTGTGGAAATACAGCGCTTTGAGGAACATGTAGGCTTGTTCGGCGCAGCTGAACGTGATCGGACTAGGATACGAGGCGAGGATTTCCCTCGCCTCCGTCGGGGCTGGTCCTGGTCTTGGTGCTTGTGCTACGAGCCATTCCAGAGACGTTGTGGGAATCGAAATCGGGCTTTGGTTCCATTGGCAGAAGGTGCCGTAGGGCATTACCTGCGGCCTGTAGAAGTAGACTGTTCGGGGCGCCGCTTGTGTCGCCTGGTCTCCTTTGCCTTGTTTGGGCTTGGACGATGAGGCTTCTGCCTCTTTCTTCTTGGATGTCTTGTTCTTGTTCTTGCTTCTTTGGTTGCCGCGTGAGCGTTTTTGGTTGCCCATTTTGTGTGTGTGTGTGTGTTTGACGGCTTAGTGATTGGATTCGGGATTCCTGTGGTAAAAGTGAAAGTTGCAAGTAAGGCTGGATTCAATAGAGAATTTCGATTGATTAACGATAAGGAGATAATTCGATGCTTGGAAGAGCAATCAGTGGTATCTGAGTCAAGCGGTAGACTTGCGTCAACCGTGGTTCGACAAGGGCGTAAGTAAAGGGCTGAAGATGGGGAAAGGCCGTGTTTGACTCACACATCGTTCCTACCGTCTCTTTGCACGCTGGAAAGTAGGCAATGCTTAACCAAATCTAATCCTTTGACAGCCACAACATATCCGGAACCTCTAGTTACCTAACACATCTGACTCACTATTTCCTTCATCCAAATATCGCCGCCCTACTTTCCGCCCCCAACATCCCCAATCATCCTCCTCAACAACGCCCCAAAGCTGCTCCGCGTCTCCCAGATAGGCAGCAAACAGCTAATCGCACTGCTGGCAAACACCCAGATAAAACTCACCACCACCCACCCTGTAAAGAAGCCCTTGGAAAAAATGTAGTGCGAAAAGAACATGGGCATGGGGACCAGGAAGTCGAGGATAAAAGTCAGCAGGAAAGCAGAGATGCATGCGAGTTTGAAGGCGCGACGCAGCGTGCTGGGGTCGTCATTTTCTTCGAGTGCGGGCGCGAGATGAGGCGGGAGCTCTGGGACGGTTGTTGCTGGGACGGGAGAATGGCTCGTGGCTTCTTGGTCGCCTTTCTTTTCGACGGTGCCTGCGTCCGAGGGCTCAGGTGTCGAAGGCTGCTCGTGGGTTATACCATGAGTCACCTCGGCGTTGATGGCGCGAGTCACTTCCCAGTCAAAGTCGTCGGGCTTGATGAGCGTGATTGTCGTTGTGACAATGAGTCCGGTCATGACGGCTGCGAGATTGCCGGCAAGAGTAGGATACGACTTTCCCGTTGTTTCTACACTGATGGTGCTGTACTGCGTTTTGGCGGTTGCGAGCCACGCCGTCAGCCCGGCGGCCAGGCCAGAGAGACAGCCGGATATGGCGGCCAGTTTGCTCTGCTTGCGCCAAGTGATTGCAAAGGCAACGGGGAAGACGGCGCCTCCTATGAGGAGGCCCATGACACTGGTTTCGTTAGCACGGCCAAGATATTGGAGGGGACAACTCACAGGAAAAGCCAGCCAAGATCTATCGATGCCGCATTCCAGATGCACGCAAACACCGACATGGTCAGTCCAAAGACGCAAATCATAATGTGCGATACAAACACCAGCTGTTTCGGCTCCGCATTGGGCGAAATGTACTCTTTGTACACGTCAAACGTCAGCAGCGAAGACACGGCAATGAGCTCAGCAGAAGCACACGACGTGACAGCCATGAAGAGCACAACCAGCAATGCAACAGCGCCTCCCTTTCCCATGAGCGTCTCTGCCGCAAACGCTGCTGCCAATCCCGACGAAATCTGGCCGGACGTTGGTACTTCGGGGTACGTGGGGAAGCGTGGGTTGTCAGTGAGCGCAACGGCAGCAAGACCAAGGGTAGTGGAAAAGCCAAACGGAATCGCAAACCACGCGATGCCTCCGAGGAGATAGGCGCGTACAGCCGTCGAGGGCTTCGAAGCGATCGCGCGCTGCCAGTACGCCTGGTCGAGAAAGACGGTACCGGAGCCCGAGCAGAGTTGAATCACGCCAAAGATGAGTCCGAAATTCGACTTGAGCGTAATATACGAGCCGTCGTGGTTTCCAGCAACTGGGCGCTGGCTCCCCGCTTTCTTGAGCAAGTCATACATATCGCCTGGTGACCCGATCAGAGGACTGATGGCGTATGCGTTGAACATGAAGTAGAGGATGATAATCATCAGGATCAACGTGTGACTATAGTCACAGATAAATGTCGCTCGGAGGCCACCCAGGATAACATAAGCACAAACACCTATCTTGTCAGCACTTCCATTTCCACCCTTCAGAGTAGAGAGATACATACCAACCGGAATCAGAAACACAGCTGCATACACAGGCATGCCCGTCAAACTCGTCACGACGGCACTGCCCCCCAGCAACAACTGGCTGCCCACGAGAATACTCGTCACAAACGCAAACACCATGAAGGTGAGATGCGCGACAGTGCCGTACCGCGCCTTGACAATCTCGAGATACGTATGGCATCGCGGAGCATTCTGCTTGACCTTGCACGCGAGAATCGAGAACATGAGAATCTGGACGGTTGCGCCGGCAGCATACCAGAACGGACCTGCGACGCCGTACTGATATGCGACGGTCGAGGATTGTAGTAGTGTGGCCGCCCATGTCCACGCCGACACGATACCTGAGGCGATGAGCCCCGGCTTCACGGAGCGCGATGCCGTGTTGAATTCCTCCGAGTGGTGTGTCGAGTAGCGCGTATATTTGTTCTGGAGGTGCGAGATGCCCATCATGACGATGGCGAAGAAGAAGCCGATACCGATGACGACGCCTGTCGTATTTCTATTAACCATGCTGCTTGGAATGTAGCCATGCGAAATCAATCAAACATACCATATCCAGCTCCAACTGGAAGCGGAATTCTGGTCGTTGCTTCAACCATGTCGAGTCTTCTCTCACATACACAGACGTATACACAGAGGTGTCGGACTGGAGTAAACTGCAGACGGGCCAGAGTCCGCTTATTTACTTATCTCTTTCCTACGACAAAGTCAAAAAAAAGAGACATAGCTGATATACCCCCAATCCTCATTACCCTCATTCGCCAATTCCACTCCAATCCACAGTATCCCAATCAAGCTCACTATCAACGGGGCATCCATCGCCATAGCACGCACCCCTGTCTCGCCGCCGCCCGCCGCCCGCCCCAACCCATGCTAGTCATACTGCGCTTTACCCAAACACGACAATGACAGCTGCTTATCCATTGGTCACGCCGTCTGCATGTGGCACACCAAGTAGACTCCATGTAATCGTGCACATGCGATTGGTTGCTAGGATATTTACCTACGCTTTATCACACACACACACACACACTCTCTCTCTCTCTATTGCCCCCATACACAACCTCCAACTGCCACTTCTACCTCCAACTCGCCACTTATCAACCTCCAATTGGAGACACACTACAACTACCCACCCATTCCCCATGTAGCTACCCCTGGTTGATTACGTCGTGGGTAATGCATATCGCCGGGGTGCATAGTCCGGGGGTGGGTACATGGTATGTAAGCATCTAAATAGCTAAGACGTAAGTGTAACAAAGGTGTACGTCCAAGTCTTGCACGGTGAAAGTAGGTAGGTATGGGTGGAAGAATGAGGGTGAGTATGTGTGTGTGTGTGTGAGTGGAAGTTCAGATTGCTGGTTCGATGCCGATGCTGATGCCGAAGCTGGGGGGTTGTGGAGAGGGTGGAACGGGACTAAGGGGGTGGAGGAATTGAGGGACAGGGGGCAGGGGCAGAGACTGGGGGGTGCGGGTGCAGATGCGGTTGGGTTGGGTTATCTTGCATAATGTATGATGGACGGATGGATGGTGGGAGGAAGTCGATGAGAGGAAGGGGGGTTATCGTATGTTTGTTATTGGCTGGATTGGATTGGATTGGATTGGATATAGAGTGTAGGAGATACATTCACATGTACATGTTTAACAAGTGCAAAGGCTAGTATGATGAGTGCTGAGGTTATGGAACAGCAAAATGCGTGTGTGTGTGATATATGTGTCCGACATGTAAACAAGGGCCACAGATAAATACAGTTTTCCTGCTGTTATTTGCTTATCCAAGGTTTACCGCTTGACACAACTCTATGCTGTCTTGCTGTCTTTGCTGACTTAGTTGTTGTGAGGGGTACTTGGCTATCTCTATCTATCAACCTCAACAACCCATGCATCCCCAAAGTCTGATAAGTAAAGTCATCTTCGGCACAGCAGACAAGCTTTTCGCCTTTGGGGGGCTAACAAGCACAAGCAAGCAAAGAGCATGCGTTTGCGTCTGCGTTTGTACCAGCACATGGGAAGTGGAGAACCAGATAACCCCCCCCCCCCCTCAGCTTATCACAGCAAAACACAAAAATTCCCCATGTTATCATCGTTTGCTGATCGCCGCTGCGCTTTATCCGATCTGCAGCTCCCCGTGTCTCTGCAACAAAAAGGCATGTCTGGAATATGGTCTAGACCTAACTCATCGATTATGTCTTTCTAGAACACAGACACACCACATACCCAAAACGCCACGCAATGCCGCTGAAAGGAACCATGATATTCATTTCCCATTCCCATTTCTGCCATGCCCTCAATTCTTGGCCCCCGCAGTCCGTATTTGAAAAGTCGCACCAGGCAACGCAGCACTCTCCGCCGTCACCGTCGCCTGGATGCCCAGACTAGCCAGACACCCGCGTATGAGGCCAGCAGGGAAATACAAAAACGGCTGTACCCTCGCCTGGCTATTGGCGTCTCTTCCCAGCGCAGGGTCGCCTGTTTGCGCGACGAGCGCAGCTTGCATTGCGGCGTCGTATTTCTTCGTGTCAAACGACATGCGGCCGAGGGGCTTGAACGTGTTGTCGGTGAGGACGTAGATGCCGCGATGGTTGGTTTTGAGGTTGTCGATTTGCTTGCGGAAGAGCAGCATCCAGAGGTCTTTGCAGAGAAACTTGATGCAGTCGAGCGGGGTTGTGGGACGCGGCGCATCGCGCGAGAAGCTACAGAGCGTGTTAGATTGGGCGTTTGGAGAAGCTATTGAAGCACGACACATACCGTTCTACAACGCCCAGCCCGACTCTGTAGCCCAGGGCCTCGAGCCGGTGGAAGACCGCTTCTCTTGACTCTTCTTCGTCGACGGTTGCTGTGCCTCCTGCGCCCACCGGCCCGCCGTCTGTGCCCCGCACTGTACCAGCTGCTGTGCTCGACGCGTCGTTGCTCGCGCCTGACAATCGCTTTGGCTTTGCACCAGAAGACCCGTGTATCCATTCTTCCTCCCGCGCAGCAAGGTCAGCGGTTATGCGGTAGGCCATAGGCACGAGTTCTATGAGTAGGAGGTCGAGACATGATGTGTTGACTAGCGAGAACGTGGGGTCAACGTAGGGCGCCGAGGTTTCGTTTGGCGCCGAAGGGTTGGGTTGCGCCATGTTGAGGATATTGCTTTGTGTATGTGCTCTCGATAGCCAGACAAGTGGCTTGTCGCCGACGTCAGTATGCCGAGGTGCGCGTTCGAGTATGAACCGGGATGTCTGGAAACGGATTGGCGGGCTCTGGCTGTGCAGTGTCTGGCGCCAAGCAGGTCTATGAGTATTCAGTGCGGATGGCTATCTTGCAGGCGTGGATTCGGTGCGGAGCGCAATGCGGGATGTCGGCGTTGGAGCTCAAGTGGGCTGTCCAGAACTAACCGCCGTCGATCATGCTGCAAGGGTCCACCATGTCATGGCTCGGCACGCCTTCCCAACGTCCAACACGTCGGGTTAGAAAAAAATTAATTGACAACTAACAAACCCCATATGACTGACAAACCCCATACAGCTAACAAACCCCATAGAAATCGCCCTCTTCCCAATCCCTTTCCCACTCGTCGTCATCAAGCTCCCTCGCGTCATCACAGCCTTGGTCACGCAAGACATCATTCCAGGCATCCAGGAGCAAGCCGTACCTTGTCTCCGTGCCATCGTCGTCGTCCTCCTTCTCCCTGTCCCTTCGAAAATAGGTGCGATATGTTTGATCCGTACGCTGTGTTTCCGCAAATAGCCCCGCGTGGAACCCAATGGGCTCCATGGAGGGACACACCTCACGGTCCAGCTTGATAGCAATCTCTGGTGTGCATCCAGTACGGCGGTGCTGTAGATGCCCATAGCACGCGACGAGGAACCGAGTGATCCTGTCATTGAAGATGGCTGAGGGGAGGCAGGTGATTGCTGAAGATAGCGGACGGCCTGCCAGCATAACACGAGGTTCTGCATCTCGGCCAGGCCCTGCCACTTGAATCTCTGCCCTCATCATCAGCGAAAACAGACCTCCTCCTGAGATCCGAAAGGGGCCCGGCGATGATATCCAGGTAAAGGCATAAATGCTGCGTGAGTCGACAATGATTTGTAGACGTTGGCAGCTTGCGAGGCGTTGAGTCAGAGGTACGTGTGCCTCTTGGTAGATTTGTCGACAGGTCCTCAGGATCTGTACCGGCATGGTTTTGACGACGAGCCGAATCGTCGACCGCCTGTTTCTCTTGAAGATTGGATTGTCGAAAACCGCATGCTTTGTCGTGATTGGTAGGCAAGCGTACACCATCAGTCTCAGTTCAGCCGGAAGGTCCAGGAAACGGAATTGCATCTTCGGATATGGATGGACTCGACAACAGGCTGAGCTCCCGAGGGCGGCCGCAATGCTTGTTATAAAGTGAGCATTTGCACAAACTAAATACCCAACCCATGGTTAGCTCATCAATGCCGCAAGCTGGTTAACCACAGTTGTAGCAACCCTGATAACCAAACTTGAACTCCCTGCACCCACCAACACCTATTGATTTCATCACTCAAGGCGCTAGTTGGGAATGCTCTCGCGAACAACCTTGGTGCTCCTCTGATGATGGCAAGGAATCCCACTGATTATATCGGGCTCTTTCTTTGCAGTGTTGGCGATAGGGTACCATGTGCACACACACACACACACACAAACTGTTCACCAATTAAACAATCTTCATCACCGAAAATTGCAGCTGCTTCAAACTCATGCCAATGGGTAGTAGTTCAATATTTTATTCATTCTTCTGCTCACAGTGGCATGTATTCATCGACATTCCCAAGACATGGTTCCCATCCCGCGTGGCTCTCATCATCCATCATGGAGGCCTATCATTTATCTGGACGCCATAAATTGAGCCATTGGTTGAGCAATGCTGCTGTCTGGATCACTCACTTTGCAGGAGGGCTCTGGACGAACTCGACACCCTTGGCAATGTTGCCCTTGAGGCCGTCGTAGCAAGCCTTGAGAAGCTTCTTCTCGTGCTCGTTCGCACTGCTGACGACGTCGATGGCCTTCTCGGCACCGCTGGGCTGTTGCCAGAATTAGCACAGTAACAACAGTTGGAAGGCATGAAGCCAGCTGGCTACTTACACCAAGCTCGATTGGTACCGAGAAGAACTCGGTACCAGTGGCCTTTGCGATGGCGTCACCACCGGCAACACCTGGAAGGTAAACGAAGCTGGGCTCGACGATACCCTTCTCACCCTTGGAGGCCTTGATGACCTTCTCGGCAAAGCTGTCAATTGTCAGTCGGTCCTTGAAACAAGAAGCCATGTGAACGTACCGGTATCCAGCGTAGGCCATGGAGAGAGTGGCCGAACCAGCACCCTCCTTTGCCTTGACGACCTCGTCACCACCAAACTGGACGCGGTTGACAAGCGCGTCCATCTTGTCGGCGGGGATGGTGACGCTTGGCTTGGCCTGGCTGAACAGAGGAACAATGGTCTCGCCCGAGTGGCCACCAATGACGGGGATGCTCAGGTTTCCAGGGTTCTTCTCGCCAGTAATCTCAGCCACAAAGGTCTCAGCACGGACAACGTCGAGGGTAGTGACACCAAAGAGCTTCTTGGGGTCAAAGACACCAGCCTTCTTGAGCACCTCGGCGGCAATGGGGACAGTCGAGTTGACAGGGTTGGAGATGACCAGAACGAAGGCCTTGGGGCAGTACTGGGCAACGCCCTCAATGAGGCCCTGGACAATGCCAGCGTTGATCTTGAACAGATCATCGCGCGTCATGCCCGGCTTGCGGGGAATACCAGCGGGGATGACGACGACATCGGCGCCAGTCAGGGCGTTCTTCAAGCCGTCATCCTTGGGCAGGTAGCCTGTTACGACCTAAGAAGCTTCAGCATGTCTGGATGTATGTGCGGGGCTGGACCTCATACTGCGGGGGTCGAGATGTGCGAGAGATCGGTAGCGACACCTGGTGTGTTTACTACATCGTACAGGGCGAGCTCGGTGACGTGCTGGCAGTTCTTGAGGAGCAGAGAGAGGGGCTACTTCATGTCAGCATCGAGGCCCTGGTGGTGCCCGCGGGGTTGCTGTACCTGTCCAATGCCTCCAGAGGCTCCGGCTACGACGGCCTTGACCATTGTGAAGTGTTTTGGGAAGAGTGGCGGGGGGTTGTGGGGGGATGCGAGGGGCAGAAGAGAGAGAAGATGCAATTGAGGAGTCGGTGAGAGAAGAGAACAGCAGATATGGCGGCTTGATGTAGGGCGAGAGCTGCACCATGCACCTGTTCTGTTGGTGCTGGGCAGGTGGGGTGTGGAGCACGGGCCAGTGGCCGCGGGGTACCGGGCGGAGCGGAGTCTGGGACGCAGACGCGCCTCAGCTAGTAAACAGAGCAGGCGTGCTAGTGCTCTCTCGGCTACCCGCGACCGGCTTGGTTTCGTGCGCGGGCTTGCGCTTCTTGGGCTTCTTGGTAGCGGTAGCGGTAGCAGTAGCAGTAGCAGTAGCAGTGCGTGAAATATTGGCCCGCCATGCAGCAAGAGAAAGCCTCGGCACCGTCGACCTCGCACTGCGTGTGACTTGGCTCGGGGGCTGCCATGCTTCGGAATGGCACGGCCGTGTGGTGGAAAATGCAGGTACAAAGACGTAGATGGGCGCATCGCTTCCATTGCAGAGGCCGGAACGGACCGGGGACAGGTTCAGGCTTCTGGCACGCCTCACATGTTCAGAGCAAGCTAATCTGCCATTCAACTAATATGTGATACCGTCTGATGACGCCTTCGTAATACTGTCACTAGCCATTCCGCGGCCGTGTGCCCCAACACCGTCCCTAAACGCCATATCCAAGATCAATTTAACAGCAGCAGCAGCAGCAGCACACAAAGTCATGTACCCGCAACGCATGCCGAGCCCCAGAGCGCAGTGGGCGGGGCGTAGCTGGCCAATGCCTAGTTGTCTGCATCCACGCGCTCGCCCTGAGCATCGTCGTCGGCGTCGGCCTCGCCATAGCGGCCAAAGCCCTGGGGGTCGCCAGCACTGGGGTCCGGGCCGCGCTGGCCAACCGTGTACATCTGGGGCTGCTGGCCCATGGCGCCGTAGGGGCCGTAGGCATTGGGATCGAACATGCCCTGCTGGGCATAGACGCCGGGATCGGCCTGGACGGCGCCCGGGTACATGGCGGGCTGGCGGTAGTCGTCCTGCTGGGCCAGGTGCTGGTTCATGCCGTAGTCGGGCGGGCCCATGGGGTGCTGGGCGTGGACGGGCTGGGGCATGCCGCCCGGAGGCACCACAGCGGCCGACGACTGCACGGCCGCGTTTTGGCCCGCGCTCCTCTTGTGCGGATGCGCTTCTTCGCGAGGCACGATATCGATAAGAAAGTCGAACATGTCCGACTTGGACAGCGCAGAGGCTATGTCGGAGCGCTGCAGCGTGCGGCGCTTGTTCTCCTCGGCGTGGATCCACGCACGCATTGTGAGCTCCGTTATGAAGATGTCCGCATCCGCTGCGGCATGTCTCCCCGACACACGCGCTCTCCTGTCGCTGACATTTGGTCCAGATTGCCGCGCAAAACCAAGCCCCCGACCCGCAGCTCTTCACCGGTTCCTGGCAGAATGTAGGCGCGCCCCCCCCCCCCCAGCCCAGCCCTCGTGCGCTCGCGGCCGCGACAGCTAACAGCGGCAGGTCAACCAAGGCCTCACGGGAAACTACCGCGACATCCTCAACACGTACTGGCAGCAGCAGGTGACGAAGCTCGAGACGGACGAACACGACTACAAGCTGCACCAGCTCCCGCTCGCCCGCATCAAGAAGGTGATGAAGGCGGACCCGGAGGTCAAGATGATCTCTGCCGAAGCCCCCATCCTGTTCGCCAAGGGCTGCCCTGCACGAGCGGGTTAGCACAGTGGTCGTGGACGGATTGACGGACTGGACGACTGGTGCGATGGGGCGAGCAGCGTCGCGTGCAGCAGCTCCAGAGCGGACGTACCATAGTGGCCGCCGTTGGCCGAGTCGTAGAGCGGATTGCCTTGCTGGCCGTCGTACTTTCGCGGCGCCGCCGTGGCCTGGCGCATCTTCTGCTGGCCGTGGCCCTGGAGGTTGACTTGGTCCATGGCGTGGGCTGGGTTGCGCAAGTGTGACGCGATGGGCAGGGTGCGCGTTCGACACGGCGCAGGCAATTGCTGGCAGAGGGCGGCTTGGTGCAGACGGGCGATGGGCAGAGCACCCAATGAGTGGTCAAGGTGGTGGTGGAGGCGCGTTGTGAGAGGAGAGGGCCGTCGTGATTGCGTCAAAGGTGCGGTCTGAGTGGCCGGGGAGGGTGCAGAAAGATGGCGCGGGGAAGACGCGAGTACCTGTCTTTTGGGGCGACGGGCGCTGCAGCGGGCGGCCTGGCATGGTGGATGAGCATCCCTCTCTGGCACTGGCACAAACCCGTCCTGACGTTGAGCCCGGCGCGCGACTGACCTCTGCGAGCCGCCGACGAATCAAGGTCCGCCAGCCGTCTATCTCTGCGCGCTGGATGCTTGGTTGGTGGGTTGCCCTCGACCCAGCGAACCACGGCTAAGCAAGGGCCCCCAACGCCTCTCAGGCACGCACGCGCGGTGGGCGAGGGGGAAAGGCCTGGTCGTCGTCGTGTCGACACTCCTGTATCGATCCATCCAACTATGCAGCAGCCGCTCTACAACGACGAGCGACGCTTCCGCTTCGGTGCCCTCCGCCCTGCTGCCCGCCGTGCTTATATGCCCGCTCTCCACGTCGCACCAGCCGCTCGCCGGCGAGGCCTGCGGCGACATCACGTCTGCTGCCTCGCCTGCGCGTGCAATGCTCGACCGCGCCGGCTCGAGGAGCATCGCCCGCATGCCCGCGCCATTGGCCACGCCCCAGCCCGCTGATGAGTTGTCCGTCTCCCGTTCTCGCGAGCACGCCATGCCATGCACCCGCGCGTCATAGCCTGGCCTGACCACCAGCGCTCGCCAAAATGAAGCGACTGGCGAACCGCCTTGACGTGGCCGCCGCGAGTGCGAGCACATTGCATGCACATGCACATGTGCACACCGCCCCCGGAACGGCCTAGCGTCGCCCATCGGGCCCGTGCGCCGCCCGTCTCAAAAAGTTGCGCTCCAAATTTTCTGCTCTTGTCCGCCATCGCCAGCATGGAGCTGCCAACGCACCAGCCGCTCGCCCACGACACCGATGACGACCTCTCCGACGACCACATCCGCGACCTGCTCAGCGAGGCTGCCGTCCGCATGCGCGCAGATGCAGCGCAGTCTGCATCGCGCCCCCCGGCTCCCTTCAAGCTCCCCAAACTGACGCCCGCCCATATTGCCGACACTCACGAGACGACTGACGGCAACATTACCCGCCTCGACCACTCGAAGCTTGTCGACAAGAACCAAAAGGCCTTGGCCAATGGCATCAAGAAGATCGAAGACCCCATTCAGGCCAAGAAGCAGAAGCAAGAGGTACGCCGACCCCCCCTAGTCGCATTCGCACGCCGGTGATGATATCTATCCCAAATGTCTTGCTGAGCAGACTCGGGCACCGTCTTGGTTGTCTTCCTGCACCACTGAGGCTCCATTAGTTCATAGTTACACTGAGGCACTTATTCACTTGCAGTTTCGCTTTCCACTCGCCCGCCACAGTAGGCTAACGGCTTTCTAGGAGAAAAAGGCAACTGCTGGAGCGCAATGGTTCAACATGCCCAAGACCGACCTGACACCTGAACTGCGCCGAGACCTGCAACTCCTCAAGATGCGCAGCGTGCTCGACCCCAAGCGCCACTACAAAAAGGACAATTCCAAGAGCGATGTCCCTGCCTTCTCCCAGGTCGGCACCATTATCGAAGGCGCCACGGAATTCTACAGCAGCCGCTTGAAGAACAAGGACCGCAAGCAGACCATTCTCGAGGAAGTCATTGCCCAAGAGCAAGACAGCGGTCGTTTCAAGCGCAAATACGAAGACATCCAGACAAGCAAGGCGAGCGGCAAGAAGGCCCACTACAAGGCCCTCAAGGCAAAGCGAAACAAGGGAAAGATTGTCAAGCCTTGAGCATGCTGACTGTCAAGGTATGGCTCCTGACCACTTGCTTGTTACAGTTTGTCGAATCAGTCTTCATTTTAGCCACTTTGGACTCGAGGCCAATCCGCCTGGTTTGTTTGGCTCAGTATCATGCTAGCCTCGACCGCCGAGTCTTTGCGACGCCGCTATTGCTCTTCCATGTCGGAAAGGATTTGCTTCACCAAAGCTTGCATGTCTTTGGCCGCCTCCCGTCCAGCCTCCAGTACCTCTTCATGGTTTGCCTTGCCTTTGCTGAGATGCTCAGTCAGCTGCGCCTTGTTCATGGTCTGGATTTCGGCATCGTTGCCACGCGATCCTGCCTCCAGGACCGCGACGTTTGTAACTAAACTGAATGCAAGGACGCGCATGCCTGCATGTCTGGCGACGATGATTTCCGGCACCGTCGACATGCCAACGACATCAGCCCCTAGCATGCTCAGCATCCGGCATTCAGCGCGCGTCTCGTAACTGGCAAAGTGAGCATGTGTCATGTCGATGAGTAAGGAAGACATACGTTGGTCCCGCAACATATGCATATATGCCTTCGTGGAGCCTTCTCTTCTGCTGGTCGAGTCCCAGCTTGACCCAAGCCATGTGCGTTCGTCTCCTCAAGTCGAGGTCGTACGCATCTGACAGTGGCGGGAAACGCACGCCAAACTCCTCGACGTTGGGGCCACGCAGAGGATTGAATCCTACAAGCCCAGCAATGTTGAGATGCTAGATCTTGTTAGCGCCAGTCTTCAGCCTTGAGGATTTACCCACGTCGTTTAGGCACACAATGTCGCCCACGCGGTAAGTCTGGTTGAGACCACCAGCAGCGTTTGTGACTACGCTCCGTCAGCACACAGGTGTGGCTCACCTGCTATGCTACCTACCGATCATAGTTTCTACACCAAGAACCTTGCATACCCGGGTAGCGAATGTAACCAGGTCCATTGTGTGTCCTTCATAGAAACTACCAATGTCAGCAATTCTCTTCAGTCTCATGCTCTCACAACGTGACGTGACTTACTGTGCCCGTCCCACAAGAAGCGCCACAGGCGTCTTCTGAGGCCCAATCTGACCAAAGACAAACTTTCCAGCATGACCTTGGACTGCCGCGCTCGTCAGTACCCCGCATCCACTGCAGATTCCCCAACATACCGGTGCTCTTGGGGAAGTGGGGGATGGCGCCATAGGGCAGCTCGACCTTTGGCTCAGGCTCGATGGTATCAGCGAGCCCACCCAGGCCCGAACCGCACACAATGGCTACCTTTGGGTTTTGAAGCGCCTCGGGGAGCTGCGCGCGCAAGTACTTGACCGTCTCGGTAGCACGGACATAGGCGTTTGGGGCAGCGACGGTATCCAGAGTGGCCTCCATGTTGGAAATCCGGCAAGTAAAGGAGATCAAGGTCTAGGCAACGAGAGACGAGGCGTTTGTAGGAAATTTGTCTACGTCCACATGTGACTTCGTCAGAGGGTACGACTAGGGTACAGAGGGAAGGCGACGGCCGACTCCGATGGTGCCAAGCCTGTTAGGCGGATTGGTGACTAGCGCCATTGCGGGCTCGGAGCGAAGAAGTTGGACGGCTGCGTTGAGTGCCAACGACAGCGACGATGGCGGCGCCACGCAGTATGCGCTCCTTTCTGGGGCCGGCTAAGCGGGCAAAAGTATGCACCTTGTACACATCTTTGCCATTGGCCTTGCACGCGACACGGATTGACGACTGACTTTTCTGGCAACCGAGTAGATTTCACACGCCCCACGACCATATACACCGAGCTTTGCGCGAACAAAGAGCTCAAGAGCCGCAGACGAGGACAATGAGCGCGACTCGCGAGATGACCGCGATTCCAAGCTCCTGGAGATGCTGAGGCTGGATCTGGAGAGCGGGGACATGGGACTCGAGCAGCGGCTGGAAGATATGGGCATTGATCCTCAGGAATACAAGACGTATGCCTTTGATTCTCGAAACGGTGGGAACAAGCAATGGCTAACGGGTTCAAAGTCTATATGCCAGCCAGCAAAAAGTCAACAAGCGGCAACAAGAACGCGAGCCGCGGACGCGCGAAGAAGCACAGCGCCAATGGCAAGAACTGCAGAACACACCCGATCATTTCGGGCTGCTCAAGGTCTACAAGCGCGCTGGCATTGAGCCGATCAAACTCGCAAAGTATGTTTCTATACGTCCTCTCTTTGCGTCAGGAAGAAAGCTTTGGCTAACTCGCAAACCCAGAGAACGGGATATCACGCTTCCCACGGACAAACCGCCTCTAGATGCCAAAACCGCAGAGGCCCTCGAGGCCCTGCGCACTCCCATCAACGTCCGCGCAGTGCACCTCCGCCCGCTGCGCCGCACCCCCGAATACGGCGTGCCCACCTGCGACCTGCAGCTGCGCACATACAACATCCGCAATCTGCTTCTGTTTTCCGACTTTGCGGTGCGCGCAGCATACTACATGGGGCTGTGTGCGCGGGGCCCCATCCCCCTGCCACGCATCACAGAGCGCTGGGTGGTTCCGCGGTCCAACTTCATCTTCAAGAAGTCGCAGGAGAACTTTGAACGCATCACCATGCGTCGGCTCATCCAGATCCAGGACGGCCATCCGGACGTTGTCAAGGCGTGGCTGGCGTTTCTGCATAAACACCAGTATCACGGCGTCGGAATGAAGGCGAATATCTGGGAGTATGAGAGCCTCGAGGATGCGACGAGGGCCGGGTACGATGCAGGCAAGGAGGGAGAAGAGTACGACAGGAGGAGAGAGGGGCCTGTGCTGAAGAAGGTGCAAGAGATTTTGGGGCGCGAGGGCTTCAAGGAGGCTATGAAGGGTCATGGGAGTGGGGTGGAGATGCGGCCGTGACATGGACACGGGGGAACTGACTGTGTGATGATATGAGTATGTTGTACATCATGTTTGAGAGAATGACAGACACGCGATGCTGTCTACACGGTTGAACAGACGAATGAAACTGAAAAAAAATGAAGAATGTTGTCGATCAGTGAGACCCATGATATTGATTGATATTGACATTTTTTTTCATAGACAACATACATATATCCAAGATATGTACACAGACACACATGCAACGAAAGCATATACACCCAAACTCCAACTCTGCTTTCTTCCCCATTTTAAATCCCACACACATTTAAATATCCATGTCATCCTCATCCTCGACGACAACACCACCAGTAGTAGTACTCTGCCCAGCATACCGCGCATCCGCCAGCAACAACTCCAAAATGGCATCGAGCAACTCAGCAGGCAAACCCCTACCCTGTAATGCACGCACCTTATTAAGCACCGGCTCGCCATTATTGACGCAGTTCCAAATGTCCCATTTGCGATCAAGTTGGATCCATGCCTTGTCAATGATATCCCAGATACGGGGGTTGGGGTCGAGGATGTCAAGGGTGGGGCCAGAGGCGGCGGTGGGAGAAGCAAGTTCAATGTGTATTTTGTGCGAGGTAGGGACGTCATTGATGGTGATGAGGGTGCCGGTAGCGTCGCGGGAGATTGAATGGGGGATTTGCTTCGCGGATCTACTACGGGGAGAAGGAGCGGTGGCGATACAGCGGATCTGGGCGTCGTGGGCGAGCGTGTGGGCGAGCAGGCGGATGGACCATGAGCGGGATGAGGGGATGGCGCTGTTTTCCGGCGTCGTGGGCCCAATGGTAAGGACCCCCGTGGCTTGCTTGTAGGTGATGGGTGTGTGGGCGAAGCGCACCGTGTCGTCACCGGGGGACTCGTCGTCGCCGGTGGCCGAGATGATGGAGAAGCCGCCGTCATCGACAACATGGCCTTTGCCGTCGTCTTCGGTGAGGGTAAAGGAGCCGTCTGCACCGACGACGACGAGAATCTCGAGGCTCGGGGGGTTGGGAGACCCGGTTTTGGGGCGGTAGGCCGCGTCGAGCGGAATGATGGCTCCTTCTTTGGCAAAGACGGGGACGAGGTTGAGGGGCCGCTGGATGCTGAGTTGGCCCGCGCGGTTGTACACGACGCCCGTGAAGATGTCGACGAAGCGGCCCTCTGGGAGCCAGATTTTGGCGGACCCGAGATGCGTAGTCTTGTCGCGTGGCTGCGTGATAGGTGCAACAATCAGCTCCGAGCCAAAGCGGAACTGGTTGGGCACGTTGTAGGCTTCGTCGACCTCGGGGTAGTCCCAGTACATGGGCTGGACAAGTGGCTCGTCATCGCTGGCACTTCGTGCATTCATCGTGTACAGATACGGGATAAGGCGGTGGCGGAACCGCAGCGTGTCCTCGACGATACCACAGGCCTCTTCATTGTAGCGCCATGGCTCGCGGGTATTGAAGGGATTGTTGTCGCAGTGCAGGCGCAGAATGGGCGACCAGCAGCCAAGCTGGACCCAGCGAGTGTACAGCTCGTCGTTCTTGTAGCCGTGCGTGTGTCCGCCGATATCGTTGCTCCACCACCCGTAGCCAATGTTGGACGCGGTAGCAGTGAACTCGGGCTGGAAATGCAGGCTCTCCCAGGTGATGATGGCGTCTCCAGAGAATCCAACCTGATAACGCTGCGCACCCGGGCCGCCGAAACGCGAGAGTATCAAGGGGCGCTGGGAGCCACGGCCACTGTCGAGGAAGTGGAAGTGGTTGAGCACCCACAGCGGGTCGACACCAGGAATCTTTGACGTGTTGCCCTGCTGCCAGTCGACCCACCAAAAGTCGACGCCTCGGTCTTCGTGCTCGTGATGCACAATATCAAAGTAGGCATCCATGAACTTCTTGTCTGTGCAGTCAAAAGGAATCGTCTGCTTGGAGGCTGGGTCAATGCCAAGGTATTTGGCAACCTTCTCGTACTGGGCTTCAAATGGCCTGAATCCGTCTGCGGGATGCAGGTTGAGTGTCAGGCGCATTCCACGGTCATGGAGCTTCTTCATAAAGGCATCGGGGTCAGGGAAGAGCTTCTTGTTCCACGTATATCCCGTCCAGCCGTTATAGCCATCCGGCAGATCCCACACCAGATGCCAGTCCATGTCGACCACGGCCACATTCATGGGCACATCGTCCTTGTCAAAGTGGTCGTGCAGCTCGAGATACTCCTTGGCCGTGTATGCATGGTATCGGCTCCACCAGTTGCCCATGGCATAGCGTGGCAGCAGAGGCTGGCTTCCAGAGACAGCATAGTATGCACGCATAGCTTCGCGGTAGTCGCGGCCGTACATGAAGATGTACTCGTCGGTCCTGTCGCCGCCCCTGCGGCCTGCGATCCAGCCATTGTCCTCGAAGAGCATCGACTTGGAATCGTCCAACGGCGCCATGCCGTCTCGCGACAGCACGCCAGGGCCCAGCCTGGCGCGGCCATTGACGCCATCCAGGGTGCGCGTAGTGCCGCCCAGGTTGGAGACAGGCTGGCCATATGTCCATGTGCCCGTGACGTTGCCCTTGAGATGTATCTTGAAGCCCTCGGCGCTGAACTTGTTCTTGTCGTAAACAACGTGGAAGCGCTTGGTTACAATCTCGATTCCGTGGCCTCTGTCCCAGACGTAGAAGTCGGGCACGGCCAGCCTGCGGTTGATGGCAAAGGTACTCGCGCGGTCTTCGAAACGCCCGTCGTCGGCCCACTCGAAGCGGAGCAGGCCATCGGTGAGCATGGTAAAGCGGTACTTGTCGCCGGCGACAATGGCATCCGGGTGCGCGACGGGGCGCGTCTTGAAGTCGTAGCGCGCTTTCGTCATGGCTTGTGGATAGCAGCAGCAGCAGCAGCAGCAGAGAGAGGCGGAAGCTGACAGACAGGGCCATCTTAAAGCAAATCCGGGGAAAGCTAAGCTCGGACGCCGTGTCTGATCAAGAGCGCCCGATGGTGGCAGCACGCGCGTGACCTCGGTTTAGTGACAGGGCGAGACGTGCCCAGCACCCTTCAGCCCCCTGCACGGCAAGTCAGGCGACGACCAGAATCGGCTCTCTTGCCGCCGCCCGCCCATCAGCTCCATGGCGAACGACTGGGGACGGGCGGTGTGATAGTGCCATCGTGTGGCCGGATCGAGGGGGTGAGAAGGCATGCGACGACAGGCGGGCAGTCGACGTGATGACAAGGTTGGTGCCAGTGCCGTGGTGCAGCATGGCCGAGCATGGTGCCCGACACTAGATGCCGCGTCTGGTGATGGCCCTTGGACGCGGCCACTGGCCGTGCAATGTAAACATTCACAGGTGCCGGCATGCCCATCTTGCGCAGAGGTTGACAGAGGCATGCTGTGTCTGGTAGCCTAGGCCCTGTCAAGTGACTGCTAACAACATGGACCACCCACGGTTTGGGTCTTGGCATTCACGACCAGCCAACGAACGAACAAGCCCAGAATAGTAACATGTTGCATACCCCGAGTAATCAGCCCGCCTCCCCCGCATTAAATACTACATGGTAATCATACACATCCCGGCATACCTCAGTCCTCGCTTCAATTACGCGTCATGTCCACGTCCCTCACCAGCATGTCCTCGCCCTCTTGGTACGGAAGACCGGCCTTCTGTCTAGCCATGTCGTTGATCCACTGGCCGTTGGGCCTGACTGTCTCGCCTTTGGCAAGCTCGTCTGCCAAGTACAGCCATGCCAATGCGTTGCCCACAGTGCTAACCTCATCGCTGACGTGGTGGCTGGCGTACTCGGACATGGTGGCATGCAGCTCCGCATCCGTGAAGAGATCGTACAGATGCTTTGCAACGGCATCGTGGTCGCCAGGCTCGACGAGGAAGCCAGACTTGCCATGCTCAACCTGAAGCGGAATGCCGCCAGCGCGCGTGGCAATCACGGGAGTGCCCTTGTGCAGCGCCTCGCTGACCTTGACCTCGAAGCCCTCGCGCGTCGACAGCTGTAGAGCCACGTGGGCGCAAGACATGAGTGTGTTGAGCATTTGATCCGACGGGCCGATGCGCATAATGACAACGTCGTTCTTAAATTCGCTGTACTCGCCCGCCAGCGCATCTTCCGTCGCCTTGTAGATTCTGGTGGCATCAGGGTCATCGACGGCGCCGTGACCGGCAATGACAAGCTGTGGCATGTCGGCCAGAGGCATGTCTTTCATGTACACGTTGCGCAAGCGAGCGTAAGATGCGAGCACGTCGGGGATGCCCTTTGCCGGGTCGAAACGGGCAATCTGGGCAATGTATTTCCGATCGGGAAGAGCCAGCTGGCGCATGTCTGCCGCGAAGCATTGCACCTTGAATTCGTGCATGTAGAACTGCTCGTCCCAGTGGTGCAGGTGCTTGTTCAGCCCGTCTAGCCAATCCGTCGTGGCAGGCAGGTATCCCACCTTCTCTGGCGTGACATTCTTGGGGACAAATGCCCGTACCGGGTGGCTGACGAAGACATCGCAGTCCTTGATGTTGTTCCAGATCCAGTTCCACACTTCAGACGTGGCTGTCTCCTCCTGATCGGCCAGGTCAGATCGAACCTGGATGTGGCTGCGGAAGATGACGGGACGACTGGGGTCTCTTTCTTTGGCAATCTTGACCAGGCTAGGCATCTGAGGGTCGTCGACGATAATCACATCAGCGCCACCCTTCTCGCGGGCCGAGAGCGGGCCACCAAACTCGGACCAGCGGCACTTGTCAGCCTCTTCCAAGACCCAGGCGTCGAGTTTGGCCATCTTTTCCTCGGTGAGGCGCTCGCCGTCTGTAGCGACACCTTGCAGGATGTTGTGGTTGTCTTTGGTGATTCGGAAGATATCGGCCTTTCCAAAAGGAACATACCTAGAAGCTGTTAGTGTGGCCTGGCTCACATTCTACTGGATAAGCTGACCATTTGCAATCGACGCCGACAAGACGCAGATATCGAATCAGCGCGTGTCTCATGAGGGCTACTCCTCCGCCTTGGGCGGTGCTGCAAGGGTCAGTCGAATTCGCAGCGTGTGAGCATCTTGGGTGATTTACCTGTTGAAGAAAGCAATCTTGACCTTTCTCTTCTTCAGCGAGTCGGCATAGTGCATGACTGCGGTTCCCGTGGTTTCAGCCTTGACTGTGTCGTCGTAACTCTCTAGTTCGGTGATCTTGACAGTCCCGTCAAGATCGACCAGGACCTGGCGCCGATGACCCATCTGGACCGGAAGCTCGCCCTTGACATTGAAGCGCTTGACCGTCTTCCTGGCCATGTACTCGGCCTGCTGATCTAGGGGAATTGACGTTTGCTGGTCTTTGATGTTGGGGAAGATGAAGGGTACGATGTCAAGGTCCTGCCACAAGCGCACGGCAAGATGGGGGCTCAGGCGGTTGAGCTGGGCCGTCAAGCCAGCGCCCATGGGCTTGGAGAGGTTCTTCTCGCGGTAGCTGCTGAGGAAGCCGATGAATGCGCTCACCAGTGCCTCCGAGGCATCTTGTACCGACTGGGGAGTCGAGTCGCCCGAAGCATTGTTGGAGTCGTTGGAGGAGTCGCATGTGCTCCCCGCGCTCTCGAGAGGCCTGGTTTCGCAGTTGATGGTGTACGTTCCGTCGTGGAGAGCGATGCAGTAATCAAGGCCCCCGTCCTCGGATTGCGTGGCGGCGAGGCCAGCATACAGGGGCTGCCAGATCCACATGTTAGTCTGTGTGCGAGTGGGGGAGGTGGGTGGATGTGCTTGCCTCGACAGCTAGGGCCAGGGTGCCTCGCTGTTCTTTTAGCTTGTGCAGGGAGTCGGGCGACTTGAATGCGCTGACGCTCCGCTGACGTCGCTCGCAAGTGGTCTGACGGTGGAACCAGTGGGTTGGACGGCACTCGAGGGTGCTGTCACGTGACTCGTGTAGCGACATGATGGGTACTAGCTGCCCTGTAACCGAACACCTCATCTTGACCTGAGCAGACCATGACTTCCGCTCGCATCCAGAGCCATCGTCGTGTCACCCAATTCCACCTTCACGCTGTCCCCCCCCCCGCTGCCCATCTGCTGCCCGCCACGACTATTGCACGCTGTGATCTCTTGTCGCCCCTTCACCTCTTCCGATAGGCACCCCCCCCTCGCCTTCAATGAATCCGCCCTGTGTTCGTGCCGCTCCGTGGCCTATGGGGTATCGTGACTTGCCACTGCTCGCGTCACATTGTCGCCCTGCGTGTCTGTACAGCCTCTTTGTACAGTCGCCATGCCTGCTTCAATCACCCTGGCAGTCACAGCCCGCTGCCGGTGAATGCGTCAAGTCGTGTATAAAAGCCGTGTCTGCCTCGAGGTCAAAGTAGCCACAGAAACAAAACATCTTCCAGCTTTACCATCTATTGCACACAGATTCTCAATATCACCAATCCACCGCTCATTGCGCAACCAGGCCGGGCAGGGTAGGGCAGGGCATGGCGCGGGCGAGGCGAGGGGCGCTAGTCGTGCGAATGGGAGGCGCGTTATGGCGCGCACACACCACGCTGCTGTAGTATCTGGCGCCGCCTTGCCTTGTCTTTGGTTACGGTTGGATGTCAATGTCGCTCTGCTCTTGCGCCTGGCGGGATTCGGGGCCAGGGCGAATAGGGCAGGGCGGAGGCGATGCGACTGGAGCGGCGGGGGGGTGCATTCTTCAGCCGCCTAGCCGTGCTGTGTAGCCATCGTGAATGCGGTGCAACGGTCGCTGTCGATGGCGGCTGAGGGCGGAAATAGCATCGAGCGGCGGCGGACCGACGGGCGCATGCCACGACACGACACGATTCGGGACGCCGCATGGCTCTCTGCTGAATCGCCATGTCACGGCCAGGCATGACATGTGCCGGCGGCTGGCGCTGGAGCGCGCGGGCAGGCCAGTGGTGGCGGGCGGAGCTTCACTTGATCCTGTGCTGCGATGTGTACGACTGCGACGGCGACGACGCGGTCACAAGCTGGGTGACAGCGGGGTCGGCTGGGCGTGTGCGTGTGCGCGATGCAGTAGCAGCTGCAGTTGCAGTTGCAGTCAGTCGGAGAGCGAGCGGGCGAGGGCGCGGATGGATGAGTGCAGCGACTATCACCATTACATTGTTATTACCATGGTGTCTGGAACAGGACAAACACGTGCAGCTGGGCGCTTGGCCCCATGCAGCCTAGTGCGACGGGACGGGCACGCTTAGCGCGGAGGCCCCAGCGCGACGGGGTGGAGCAGGCGGCCGCGCACGATTGGGCGCGCAGAGGCAGCATGCGACGGGCGCCGCTCGCCCTCACTATGTGTGTAGTAGTAATAGCATCTACTCACTGCACCAGCACTGCACTGCACGGTACCGCCCAGCACCACACACCGCGTGCCGACAGCAACAAAAAAAAAAGACCGCGCCGCCCGTGCAGCACCACCAGCGCCAGCACCAACCCGCGCTCGGGGTCCGCGTTTGCCTCTGCCTGCCCGCTCTGCGCTGCTGCTGCTGCTGCTGCTGCTGTTGCTGCTGCCCCCTCCCGCGCCTGCCTGATTCGAAACGCTGCTGCCCTCGGTGCAGCCAAGCACTGCACTAAGCTGCGACCCACCCAGCTTCCGTTCAAACCTCAGCCATCTGACTGCCACAACACCAAACTGCTCCCGCCTAACCCAACTCCCCAACCCCAACCCCAACTCTATCCACCATCCATCCATCCCACCCCCGGTGCGCCCACCACTGGGCCCGTCCACCGCCCTTGACCACCTGCGCACCTCTTGCTGCCCGTGCGACGACCGCCTTGCGACCGACCGCCCGCCGCCTCTACGCGCCCGTCGCATACCGCGATTTGCTCTTCGCGTCGTTTCAACACCGCACACCGCCAAGCCTGTCCATTGCCCATCTCCATCGCCCCTTCCTCGCGTCACACGTTCATTGTGGCCATGAACCACTACCCTCCCCGCGTCATGGGAGGCCCCCAGGTCGGCCCGGCCCAGCGCCTGAACGAGCTCCTCGAGAGCATCAAGACCGAGTTTGAGACCGAGTCTCAGCGCAGCGTCGACTACGAAGGCCAGAGTGAGTCTCTTGCGCGCCGCCGCAGCCCTGCCTGCACGCGGCACCCCACGTCTTGCTGCCCACGCCCACGCTCACGCCCACGCCCACCGTCTTGTGAAGCACATGCTAACCAACCCCCCTCGCAGTCACCCGTCATATCCAGGAGATTGAATTGATCCGCAGCAAAGTCTACTCGCTCGAGCAGTCACACAACCAGATGAAGGCAAAGTAAGTAGCCGCCTGCAGCTGCCAGTTCGGTTCGATAGCCCTTGACTGCAGAGACTGACGCCCGTCACAGGTATGAGGAGCGCATTGCCCAGCTAGAGCGCGAGGTCGAGGCCCGCGGCGGACCCAGCCAGAACTCGCAGCACCACGGCCACTCGCAGCCTCAGCCCCCCCAAATCGGCCATGGACCGAGCAACCTGTTTGGAGGAATCATGGCAGGCAGTGCCGCCCAGGGCGGTCCAGGGCTAGCGCCTCCTCCACAGGAACCGCCGCAGGGTCATGGCATGCCACCACAGCTCGGAGGTCCCCAAGGACCGCCTGGACTGAACCCTGCCCCCGGCCCGCCACAGCACTTTGCTGGCTACCAGCCTGGCCCATCGGTAAACGGTGAGTCTCAGAGACTGTGTATGATTGAGCTTGACTAACGCACCCAGGCTATGGCCAACCCCCACAACCTACTGCCTCGCCTGGCGCCAAGCGTCCAGGACCTGCTCGTGGCCCTCCTAACCCAGCCACGCCCCAGCAAAACAATCCCGCTCCCTACCCCGGCTCACCCCAGGTGCCGCGACCAACGCCTCCACCTCACCACCAGCCCAACGCCTTGATGGCCCCAAACCACATTCCTCTCAGCCAAAGCAACGTCTTGGCCGACCTGGATATTGAGCAGTTGCCCGAGAACCTGAAGAAGGAGGGAAGCGATTGGTTTGCCGTCTTCAACCCCCGCTCAAGGCGAGTTCTCGACGTTGACCTGATTCACAACCTGCCCCACCAGAGTGTGGTTTGCTGCGTTCGCTTCAGCTTGGACGGTAGGTGGGTCGCCACCGGTTGCAACCGATCTGCCCAGATTTTCGACGTCGAGACGGGTAACCCGGTCGCTCATCTCCAGGACGGCAGCCTGCCCGAGGACGGCGATCTCTACATCCGAAGCGTTTGCTTCAGTCCCAATGGACAATATCTCGCCACTGGCGCAGAGGACAAGGTCATCAGGGTATGTTTTTGCCTTGACACATGCAAGCAACCACTGCTAACAGAAACCAGGTCTGGGACATTGCCAGCCGCACAATCAAGCACCAGTTCACCGGCCACGAACAGGATATTTACTCGCTCGACTTTGCCAGGAATGGAAAGATTATTGCTTCCGGTAGTGGCGACAGGAGTGTCCGTCTCTGGGATCTCGAATCCAACATGCAAGTCTCCAACTTCTCCATTGAGGATGGCGTCACCACCGTGGCCATTTCGCCAGACAACCTCTACGTCGCAGCGGGATCTCTCGACAAGAGCGTCCGTGTGTGGGACATTCAGACTGGCCAGCTTGTCGTCAGACTGGAAGGCGAGCATGGCCACAAGGACAGTGTGTATAGTGTGGCTTTTGCTCCTTCTGGCAACCGTCTGGTCAGTGGTAGTCTCGACAAGACCATCAAGATGTGGGAGTTGTCGACTCAGAGCCGCTTCGTTCCCGGCGGAAACCACCCAAGCGGCAAGTGCATCCGCACATTTGAAGGTCACAAGGACTTTGTTCTCAGCGTTGCCCTCACTCCTCACGGCGACTGGGTACTGAGTGGTTCCAAGGACCGTGGTGTCCAGTTCTGGGATCCTCACACTGGTGTCGCGCAACTCATGTTGCAGGGACACAAGAACTCTGGTATGTTGGCCTCATTATTTGATTTGCAACTGTTCCACTAACACGCTATAGTCATTTCCGTCGCTCCCAGCCCTACAGGAGGCGTATTTGCTACTGGTAGTGGTGACATGCGCGCACGAATCTGGAGGTACGTTTATTATACATCGTTTAATCGAGTCCTGGTCTAACTTGCAAACAGGTTCGATAGGTACCCTGGACCTTAGGCAGGCCCCCAGACTGCACAAAGGGCTCCTGAGTCGTGTTTCTACTGTCTGTAAAAGCAGAAACCCCATCATCATCATCATTGCCGTCGTCTTCGTCATCATCATGGGGGATTTCTCCACTATCTAATTAGTAACGTTCCATGATGACTCTTATGGGGGTTGTTTTGGTATTGTTATTACTATTATTTTCGGGGTGATTGTAACCACTGGCCAATGGGATTGATTATCTGTCTGATTTGCTTTTTTTTGCTTTTGTACTCCTTATTTTTTCTCGGGCTTTGTCTGTGGCCGGAGAGAAGAAGGGGGAGGGGGAAGGGGGAAAAGCAGTGAATGGTAGGTTGGTGGCGAGGGGGAAATGAGTGGTTGGATGGCTGGTGTGTGGGCGAAGAAAGAACCCTGAAAGCAAGAAGGTTCTTTTTTGAGTGGCATCTTATTTTACTTTTTTCTCTTTTTCACTTGGTATTGGTTTTTTGATTCCCAAACTGATTTATGGTCGCTCGTATCGTAGCTTTACTACTAAATATCGGTGTGTTATGTGTTCCCCCATCTTGCTTTTTCTCTCTGTTTTTATTTTTACTTTTTTTTCGGTGGCTTCGCAAGTTGACATGTGAAGGGCATATATGTAGGTGTGGGTGTGATGCATACCTACGTGTACATGTGGCTGTCTTATCTCTACTCCTGCTCCCATCTCCTTATTTATCCATCCTATCGCGGCTGCGCGGCTACACTCTACATGCAGGTGCACGTGCACGTGCACATGTATCCCACCCCACGCACACGTGCATTACACCCGTTTTCCCGTTTTCCCCTCTGCAATGTTTGTTTGTTCGTTTGTTGGACGGATGACTCAAGCTTCTCCATGTAAGTAACTATGTGAGTGAAGTCATATTCATAGGTGGACTTTTTACTTGTAAATTGTTTGTCCAAGGTGGCTAGTTATCTGTATGGATTATGTAGGAGTGAGTATGCACTGGGTAGGTAGGCATGTGGAAGTAGTACGTCGTTGTATGGGAAGAGGTTGGCGAGAGAAAAAATCGTCGTCATTACTATCCGTCTTCACCCTTTCCTCCATGCTCTTCTTTTTATTGTGATTGTTATTGCCACTTATTTACCATGTTGTTATACAAGAACTTCTGGTGCGACTCTATACTCACATGTACATGCCGGTGGACCTAGCCCAGTACCATTCATGATGTGTAGGTATCATGTATACTAAGATATAACTGAGCAGAGCAGCGGTAAAACAAATCAAGCAATCGTACCTAAGAATCAAAGTTAGGAATAAATAGACTACATCTCATTCCTTCCAACCCGGATAATATCTACGATATATGAAAGTTGCCCAAAAACAACGAGAAACGCCTGATTTTTCCCTTCACGTTTGAATCCATGAATAATCACCACTTGCATTCTACTATATTTCCTTTGTTCTATGTCTTGATTCACACTTCTATTCTATTCCATTCATTCACATTGTCTATCCCTATTCATTCGATTCATGCATGCATGCATACACCTTGACTCACTCACTTTATTCACTCAATCAGATACTCACTTCATCACACTTACCTAGATGTACGTGTAGAGAGAGCTCCAAATGCTAGTGCAGCAACACGAGCAGCAGAAAATGTCTTAAAAAGAGATGGAATGAAGAGCTCCAAGGAAAAGAAAAAGTCGAAAGAAAGAAAGAAAGAAAGAAAGAAAGAAAGAAAGAAAGAAAGAAAGAAAGAAAGAAAGAACAAGAAAACGCCACAAATGCTCCGGATAACCGCGTTTTCGCCTCAATTAACACGTTTGTTGCGACGTCTATGTAGGTGTGAAGGTTATACACTTACAGTGCCCCAACTATGGTTACACGGATGAACAGACAAAGAAAAAAGAAACATTCAAACATTAGACCCGCCACTACCCGGTCCTTTACCGGGATCCAGCAGCAAATGCGGCTTGAGGAAACCATCGTCAATCTGTCTGAAAGCGTTTGCAGGATCATGACTGATTTCACTAATGAGCTGCTTTACTGCGCCTGTGGCTGTGGCGACTCTGCCTGGGCCTTCGGGGGGCCGGTGGCCAGACGTTGGGTAGGGTGTTGTTGATGGCTCGGCGGCGGATGCCAAGGGTGACGCGGCGCGGTTTGGGGAGCGGCGGGCGCTGGGGGGAAGGTCGAGATCAATGTCGTCTTCGTCGGCGGAGCCACTGTCGGCGGGGCTGAGGAGACCTTGGTCTGCGCCGTCGCGGGCGCGCACGTGGCTTGAACCGCGGCGCGTAGCGCCATTGGGTCGAGTGGGTGGACTGTTGCGGCTTCGCGATCCACTAGAGTACGAAGCACCGTCTCGGCCGTTGACGTTGTTGAGGTTGAATGAGCCCTGGTTGGGCCGTGGAGTGTGACCGTAGCCTTGACCCTGTTTGCGGGAATAAGTGCCGCCATTCACAACCTCAATGTCAAACTCGTCATCGCTGTCAATCTCCTCGACGATTCCTGTGCGAATGCCGAGAATCTCCAGCATACGCGCAGTGGTGCCTCCAAAGATGATGACTGTCAAGACGACTACAACAAGGACTGTGGCTCGCAAAGTATCGCCGGTGTTACCCGTGAGACCTGCAGCGAGCGCCACACCGACGGCACCACGGAGACCCGCCCAGTAAATCATGGCCTGATGGGCCCAAGGAATCTCTTCAACAAGCTCGTCTCCGCGTCGGCGCTGGCGGTAGCGGGTAACAGAATTGATAATCCTCGAGAGCGGGAACACTGCGCACCATCGAGCTGCGCAGATGCCAGCGACGGTGATGAGAATAAACAGTGGCTTGTAGTCGAGCTTGTCGTCGGTAAAGAGCGAAAGGCCTAGGTAGATGAAGATGAAGTTCTCCGAGATTTGCGAAGTGACTTGGAACACAAACTTGGTCGTGAGCTGTGTTCGCCTCGACATGTTGTGGTAGGCGTAGTGCTTCATGCAAATACCGCAGAATAGCAGCGAGACGATACCTTTGCTTGTTAGCGTCGATGTGTATTCCAAACCAGCTCCCACTTACCCGACATGTGGATGGCATTGGACATGAAGTAGGTCAAGTATGCCGTGAGGATGATCAGACAGCTCTCCGTCTTGGGGAAGCGCCGGACATAGGTGAACTTGAGCATCAGAGAGACGGCAATGCCGACCGTGACACCGATGAATAGACTGCCAAAGAAGACACCAAAGAAGATGCCAAAGGCCTCGAACAGGCTGAGGATGCCGAGCGACTCTGCGCCATCCTTGTACTTTTGGGCCGTCTCGAACAAGACAATGGCGACGGCATCGTTGAGAATGGACTCGCCAAAGATGAGCGTGTACAGCTTGGGCTCTACCTTGTACGTGTCGAAGATGGCCAGAATGGTGACTGGGTCCGTGGCCGACAGCGTGGCGCCCACCGACATGGCCTCGACAAAGTTAATCTTGAAGCCATCGAGCGGAATCCTGGTCCAGAGGAACAAGATGAGGCCGAGAACGAGGGCGGAGATGAATGTGCCTGCAAAGGCAAAGGTGAGGATGGTGCCGATATGGCGGAAGAAGTTCCCCTAGGGCATGTTAGGCAGGGCCAAGGGCCAGGGCGGGCAGCAGGACGCACTTGATGCAATTCGTAGCCGGCGGAAAGGATGATGGGCGGCAGGAGCAGGTTGAAGAACATTTGATAGTCAAAGCTGACGGCATCTCGCACCGAGGCGACTGCGGTGAGGCGGAGGATGAGGCCAACGACCATTCCTGCAAGCGGTTAGCGCGGGATGTGCAGGGCGACGCGATTACGAGATAAGCCCCAGACGACATGGCGGCAGTGGACATGTGCAGATTTACCCCACAATTGGAAGAGTCTGGGTGCGAGCGATGCGATGCGAAGCCATGTCGTGCAAACGCACTATGCGCACTACTCGGAGCTTGTCTCAACGATTGCCCACGGGCGGCAGCGGCCCACGGCGAGGCTGGGGCCCACGTACCGGCAAAGATGGACAGGACCGTTTCGTGAACGGCCTGGATTTTGCGCGTGTGCAGGATGTAGCTGGTGAAGAGGGCGATGATGAGCAGGACGATGAGGATGGACAGGGCCCACGAGGTGAAGATCTCCTTCTGGCCCGCCTCGGGTTCGTCTGTATGGCAGCATTAGACACGGGCAGCGCGGCGACAGGGCGGGAGGAGGACTGACCGTCTGGGTCTGCGTCGGACGTGTCTCGCTCTGCAACGTGTGGTCAGCCATGGTGGCCCTGACGGTGCGGGCGTCGAGGGCGCGTACTGAGGAGCTGGCCGACGGCCCACCAGCCCATTATCGACGCCATGCTGGGCTCAGGAGCGGGCTCGCATCAGACGCCGCGTCGAGCAGAGGGGCGGGCAGCGGTCGTGGCGGATGAGTTGGGCGCTGGAGGCCGGCTCGGAATCTGTACGGGCACGCGCCAATTCGACACGGCGCGCGCTGGGAGGGGATGGGATGGAATGGGATGGGGTGCGGTGCTGGGTGTGCGGTGCGGTGCTGTGCTGTGCGGTGCGGTTGGGGTGTGGTTGGGGTGTGGTTGGCGGTGCGGATGCGGTGCTGCTGCCTCTCTGCCTGGCCTGCTCGCCCGCCTCCCTCCCCCCCCCCCCCAAAGCTGTCTAGGTGTCGCTTCGGCCGCCCATGTCGCGGCCGGCCCGCCAGCGCCGCTTCGGGCGTAGCGCATGGCGGGCGGCCAGGGTCGCGAACGGCGGGCGGGCACCAACGTCATAGCCACGTATTCCCGGGCTTTCGCTTTCAGGCAGAAGACGCATCCACTTCTGCACTGCATCCACGGCTTCGCATGCACGACATCGCAAATCGAACCCCCCCCCCAACCCGCCCTTGCGCTTGCCCTTGCGGCCCAGCCAGAAAGACGTGCCAGATCACAACACCCACTCCCGACGCCATCAGGCCTGCACATGACCGCCGCCGCCGCCTAACCGCCCCTCCTGCCTGCTGGCCGTGATGCCCCCCCGTGCCCCGTCGTGTCTCGCCGCCGCCCCTTCATCCTCACCACGGCTGACATCCACGCCCGCCACTCGCCGCTCCAGCACCGCCGCCAGCGCCAGCGCCAGCGCCAGCTCCAGCATCAGCACCGCCGCCAGCGGCACTGCTAGCGCCCCGTTCACGCGCTGCATCGCCCAGTAGTCGCCGCCTAACCGCCTAACCGCAAAGTCGCCGTGACTATTTTTTGCCAGCCCTCGCAGCCTCTCACCACCTCACTCCACGCCCTCTTCTGCGCTGCCCTGTCTGCTGCCCGCCGACCCTGGCCCCGTGGCTGCCAATCACAAACTCGTCGACCCTGACCACGATCACGGTACGCTGCTCAGGCCCGACCACGTCGTCGCCTGCCCAGGAATTTCCATCGCGTGCCCTCTGCACGCAGACTGCCACATCATGTCGTCTCCGCCGACCCGTGGCCGCGACGAGCCCGCTTCCTCGTCGTCGTCGTCGCCCGCCTCCCTATCTAGACTCGACACCTCGCACGCCCGCTCCAAACCACGACCCAAGCTTGTGTCCTTTGGCCGCGACTCGTCGACAGGCGGGCCCCCAGACTCGGATGCCGACGTCCACATTGAGTTTATCCACAGCAACGATCCTGCGCCCCGCATGTCTTCCGAAGTCGACCCGCTCCTCAAGGAGGCCATGTCGCCCAACAGCGACGACGACAGCTGGCTGGCCGAGCACCAGGTCGAAGAGACAAAGTCCAGCTGGTTCCTCTTCCTCCTCACCTTTGGCGGCCTCGGCCTGCAAATTGGCTGGTCTGTCGAAACCTCAAACGGCTCCGTAAGTGCTTTTTCCCCAGCTTTTTTTCTGTGCCCAGAGGACCCTGGATCCCACACACGCCCGCTCTATTTTACCTGCCGAGTCTGCTGCTAACCGCACTGCCCAGCCCTATCTGCTCTCGCTCGGTCTGAGCAAGTCGATGCTTGCACTCGTTTGGATTGCTGGCCCTCTATCTGGTGTGCTTGTCCAGCCCTATGTCGGCCTCAAGAGCGACAACTGCCGCCTGCGATGGGGAAAGCGGAGGCCCTTCATCATTGGCGGTGCAGCCGCCACCATACTCTCTCTCATGGTTCTCGCTTGGGCAAAGGAGATTATTGGCGGCTTCCTAGGCATCTTCGGTGCAAACCCAGAGTCTCACTTTGTCAAGACAAGCGTCATGCTCTTCGCCGTCCTGTTCGTCTACGTGCTGGATTTCGCTATCAACGTCATCCAAGCCGGCGTGCGAGCATACATTGTCGACGTGGCGCCGACGCACCAGCAAGAGTCTGCCAATGCTTGGCTGATGAGGTCGGCTGGCATTGGCAACATTCTGGGCTACCTGGCCGGCTACATCAACCTCCCAGACTACCTTCCCTGGCTCGGTGACAGCCAATTCAAAGTCCTTTGCGCCATCGCATCCTTTGTCATGGCTCTCACTGTCGGCGTCAGTTGCTCGGCATGCTCCGAGCGCGATCCACAGTTTGATACGGCGCCCGCTAACCAGCAGGACGGCGTCATTGCCTTTTTCAGGGGGCTTGCGCGCTCAGTCAGGAAACTGCCTCCCCAAATCAAAAAGGTCTGCACTGTGCAGTTCTTTGCCTGGATCGGATGGTTCCCCTTTCTCTTCTACATTACCACGTATGTCGGCGAGATTTACGCGGATCCCTACTTTGAAGAGGACCCTCACCTCCCGGACAGCAAAATTGACGGCATCCTCGAAGATGGTACCAGAATCGGCACGAGGGCTCTGTTGATTTTTGCCATTACCACATTTGTTGCCTCCGTTATCCTGCCATTCGTCATTCCCCCGACATTCCAGCCGCCTGAGCCCGAGCGTCCCATTACGCCCGCGACCCCTATGACGCCAACGACCCCTCATTCCATGAATGGCTCTAGCTACTTTGCACTAAGTCACGCCCCTAAAGGAAGTAAAAAGACGTTCATGGACAGGGTATCCAGCTCCATGGAATCCCTGCAAATTCAGTCGCTCACCCTTCGTCGCTCATGGTTCTTGTCACACATTTTGTTCGCCGTGCTCATGGGCTTGACCTTCTTTGTCCGGAGCACCTGGGGTGCTACCATCCTTGTAGGTGCGATTGGCATTCCTTGGTGCATAACAAATTGGGCGCCATTCGCCATCATTTCTTCTGAAATCTCCAAGAGAGATGCCATTCGTCGTGGCATCATCAAACCACGCGACCGCGAGGCACAACTCATCGCAGAGGGTGAAGATGATGGTTCAGGCGCAGACTCGGCTGGCGTTGTCCTTGGCATTCATAACGTCGCCATTGCAGCACCCCAAGTTATTGCAACCCTGATCAGCGCCATTCTGTTCAAAATCCTCCAGAAGCCTAGAGGCACAGCAGGTGATACGAGTGTAGCCTGGGTGCTGCGCTTTGGAGGTCTCTGCGCTCTTGTAGCTGCGTGGCTGACACTACGAGTCAGCGAAGAGAAGGAGGACGTCGAGTCTGAGGAGCCTTTCAGGAGAAGGCGGATGTCCTAGGATGACTCCGATTATCATTCTTTATCACATCTTAGACGCGAGTTGGCCCGCTCTCTAAGCCGGCATAACTCCAGCGAAGATACAAGAGAAGCTTAGAAAATGAAGATGAACAGGACAGAGCAACGGTTGAAATGTAGCCGTGTGCTAAACTATACAGATGGCCTCGCGGTCTAGTTGCAGTTTCTTTTTTTTTGGGACTGATATATGATATACCTTTGCTTTGGATAGCGAATTAGCACAGCAGCCAAGGTGCAGGCGTTTACCCCCCTTTTTTTCAGACATGCATCTTGGAAAGCGAAGAAGCATATTTTCATTTTCCTTGTCTAGATAGGCCTATAACGAGACACATGAACGGAGTTCTTGGACAAAGTGTACAACTTGAGGGTGGTGTGAGGGTCTGGCTTCAAGGAGTGTAGAAAAGACTTATTTTTTTTAAAGAGAAGGAAAAGTTGACTAGAAACACACTCGTTTTTTTCTTGCCTCCAATCAATCGGATTTCTTCTACTTGTTTCTTTCACTCGATGTATTTGTGCACTTGATTATACTAAGGAAAGATATTGTTGGAATCAAGTGTATTATCTAGAGAATTCTGTGCATATCGTGTCATTGAAGTAGTGATATGTCCACATACGTTCATTTACTAGATTTCAGTTGAGTGTGCCTATTTAGAACAAGGTATGCTTGGAGATATTTCACTTTGCATTGCAGAAAACGATGCTGATGAATGAGAGAGAGACTTGGCCATTTTGTTTTCTGCGCTCAACCTAAGTATCGACAGCGAAGTGAAGCGAAGCCCCTTCCTACACACTACCTAAGTATATACACTCTTGACGTCCCCTACTTACCCACCAACTCATCCTTCCCACACTCTCCCACACCAACATCCACTTTCCCACCTACATTCTTTCAAAAAGCGGGCTTAGCATTCTTAACCAACATCTCAAAATACGCCTGGTTCCACTGTCCCGCCTCGGGACTTGGCTTGAAGCTCTCGCTCTTTCCGCAAAAGCTATCATAGCGCGCCGCAGAAGGGTCACTCGTGCCGTCGCTCTCGCCCCCAGGCTTGACCCAGACAAATGAATCGACGAGCGATGAGCCCGTGCTAGATGAGGGTCTGCGCCCGAAACCCGCGCCGTTGATGTTGCACCAGTTGCCCCATTCCTGACGGATACCTTGCACGCCGCTGCGGCCCGTGTCGATGATGGCCTGGCCGGGCATGCCGGCGGACGTGAGTTCGGGCGAGAACAGCTCCACGTATTTCTTCTCATTCTGCGCTTTGTTGTACTTGCCGTCGGGGGCGTTGGCGAATTCGCCCGGGGTAAGATCGTATGAGTTCCAGCCGGCGACGTTGGTCGCGATGCCGCGCACTTGCTTGGGGCTGCCGGCTTGCTTATACACGTTTGCGAGTTCTTTGGCGCCGGGCTCTGTAGTTGCCGTGGTTAGCTTGCCATTGTGGTGGGTCAAGTGTTAAGGTGAGGGAGATACGTACTCAGGTTGTCGTCCCAGCCTAGCCAGCCGCCGTGGCCCGCGTCAATGTACATGGCGACGTTGGGGAGGTTGAGCTGCTTGAGCGCATAGGCGACGCCCTCGCGGTACCCAGATGCCGAGTCCTTGCATGTCTGGAGGTTGCTGTTGGTGACGAGGTTGGGCAGCGAGTCGGGTTCAATGACCAGTGCAATGGCTGTGTTGGGGTACTTTTTGAAAATGGCAACGATGGCTGTGATTGTATGTTAGTGGGGGAATTATCCCAAGGTTGAAATGATGGTGGAGAAGACTTACGGTCAATGTACTGCGTCTTGTAGATGTTGATCTCGCCAACAGCCAGCTCGCCGTTGGATGCTTTGGCAGCACAGTCACGACCGGGCAGGTCATAAATGACAAGGGCAGCGATCTGGTCGCACGGCACATCCTTGATGCCGTCTTCCACAACCGAAATCTTGTCACGCGTATCACTAGCATACATGTTAGCTTTTTGCAAGAATGCTACTGCAAGTCCGAGCACCCTTACATCCAGAGAAATGTTCCAATATCAGCCACCTTGCGAGCCTTTGCCGCCATAGCCGAGTCTGTCATCTGGGCCGCCGCCGCAACAACCTCAGAAGAGTAGAATTTGTTGGCATAGACGGTGCGCGACGCGAAGGGGTTTCCAGAGAGCGTAACAGGAGTGGCACAAGCAGCCGCAGCGCGAGCAGTAATGGGGCCATTCTCAATGGGAGAAGGGAGCGCAAAAGCGCCAGTCATGGCCGAGGCCAGAGCAGCGGTGAAAAATCCCTTCATGGCAGTGGCTGAAAGAAAGGTGCGGAGTATGTTGTGATGCTGGACGCCTGCGGGGGAACAAGAAGCCTCTTATACCAAGGCTGCGGGGAACAAAACGACTAACGTGCTGCGAGCCTCATATCGAGGTATCTGCTCATCAGGAAACCAGGCCCGCAAGTGAGTGACAAGGGGTGTATTTTGGGTCTGTGCGATCTGCGCTCGAGAGATGAGGTTTAGATGAATGTATATCAAGCGTGACATGGCACTATACTCGCTTGCCCTGTGCCATGGAGCGGTAGTGCCTGAGGCCAGAGCAAGATTGTAGAAGTGGTGCCGTGGTCTTGGACTTGTGTAGCTTTTCATGAGCCGATTGTGTTTTGTTAGGGGCATGGTTTTGGTAAAGCCTCAATCTCTCTAGACCAGTTGTATATCTACAAAGCACACGCTTCGACAAGCAAATATTTCTGGAATCTCTCTCTGCATGCAATTACTAAGACTAGAGGACTAGCAGGGCAGGTAGATGAATGTTTCACAAGGGGCTTTGCCGCGGGGTGTCGCTTCCGGCTCCCTTGCCCGGTGGACTGGGCTTGCACACACTGCTTTCCTCTTAAGCATTAAGGACGATTGGCTCTGGTCACGGGAGCCGAGCCGACCAGATGAAGCCATGAGTTAGAATTTGTGGATCTTGCTTGTCAAGAAGTAAGGAATTCTGGAGTCATCCTGTGCCGGCAGCAGGTGTGCTCCGAAGTAGTTCCTCCAGTGTAAACTCTGACTTGTACGGAATTCATCACCGATCGACTGGCTAGCACCTGCAGTGCTGCACATGCATGCTACGTGAACAGAGCTATATATTCCATGATATAGGCATGCCAAGTTCAATAGAGTCGGCAAGTTGGCTGGCGTGTGAGGAGTTGATGCATGGGTTGGACCCTGAATGGGCTGATCGAAGCCTTCTCGAACGAGTTCGCCGTGCACATGACGGTTGAAATCAATTAAGGTCGATCTTGGAGAGTCTTTAATCTGAATTTACCCTGATATCCTGCAGATGGGAGGTGACAGCCAACGGGAACTGTGTCAGCAATATGTGTGAACTCCAGTACCGCTGCGAGTCGACGAATGACAGAGCTCAGCGCCAGACTGCGCCTTTGCGGCAAACTTCTGGATGACAGATAGCGACGGCTGTTGCACAGGGATATCACCACGATAAAATGAGCCACGTGAGGCCAATCGTGTGTTCCGCGAATGCATGTATATCTCTGTTGTGAGAAGTTGTGTTAGTAGCCTGTCGCTTCGTGCTCGGCGCCTGGTTTCAACCAAAGATTCTTCCGGATTCATGCCACCGTGCAACCTTCTCCAGCATTGAAGTAATAGAGAGGGGTAACATCCAGACCATCAGCATGGAACTCAGCATTAGGTAGAGTGGTATGGGCTGAACAGTGTACAAACAACAGATGTCTCGGCATTGGTGTGGTGCCTGTAGCAAGTGTGGGCCGTGATACGCTGGAGAGGTGTAATCAACCATAGGATTATAGCTTGGTAAAATAATGACAGGCATCTTCCAAAACAAACATGTAAGTGGGTGAGGTGGTTGGGCGACTTACGGATGTCGGATAATTACAGATGGTAGGCGCTAGTACCACATTTAGTCCTATTCTGTAGTAGGACCAATATGGATATGCTCTTGATCAATCTAAGCTCTACATTATGGCCCCGCAAGCCTCGCGCTCGGAGACCACTTGAAGCTTGTGTAGACGTCTTTTCTCTAGAAAATGCCTCTTAAAACTGACAGGAATTGGGCGCGTACAGATTTAAGTGATTACTTTATCTTCTGCAACACCCTTATTTCTACTGCTCTTCCCTTCAAACTAATATGATTTGGATATTACCTAACATGAACCCTTGTAATGCCGCAGCTGACTATCCACCATATATCCATACCCGTACTATATTGATGCTACCAAACTTTTGCGACGAATCACACTACCGTACGACGAAAGGAAGGGTATAGGTAATTAATAAGGTAATATTCATATTCTGTATACGTACTGACAACCCCTATGTAGATACACAATATTCCCTTGTTAAAAAAGAACCATAATCACTTGAGGTTGCTCTTGAAACCAATCCAAAGTTTATAGGTAAGGTTCTATGGCTTTCAGGGATTGTTGGCCCTATATGTACATGATATCCTGGAATAGTCTGTCTTTTACACTGCTTCTTTTTTTTTTCTTTATATGAAGACACACTGCGATTTTTCTATACAAATGACACTTTAATAAAAGAACATAATTTTTTATTGTAGACTAATTTGTTGATTCTGGACAGAGTTAGAGTATAACCGCAATGGCAGATAGGTGCAACATGTTAGTGAGTAAAAAAGACGCCAAAGATGTTACTAGAGCGCACGAAGGATCCAGCTTTGAAGAACGTTTGATCGACGTGAGAGCTACCACCTCATTAGAACAAGTCGAACAAGTGCTAAACTCAATATAGCCAAACAGTCAGGTTCAGTGAAGGAATCCCAACCTTCACCTTGCTTCCTTCCACCACAGTGGCATTCACATCTTTTCTAATTTGGTCGCTTGCACGCTATTGATATCTTTGAGTATTGGAAGAGTAGATTACTCCCAACACGTTTACGGTGGGCTATCCGGGCTTGACGTGCAAGATGAGAAGCAAAGTCGTCTCCGGACAGGAATGCCAGAAATGAGTTTTGTCTCACCTGGGTCAGAATCTAAACCTAGATTGCACATATTGAAGCTCCAGACAGACAACGGACTTACTGAGAAGCGGCTATGCCAGTGTCAACTCGTGCGATCACACCTTTAGCTATAACAGTGATAATACGAATGTGGTTGGATTGGCAGACTACTTCGCCCGATCGCATGTAAAGCCCCGCTAGTTCATACGACAGTTACAGTTTCTATTCGCTTCGTCCACTTTTTCTTGAAGTACTAGCTCTCATAGGATCGCAGATACCGAGCGTCCCAAAGTAGCTCTTAATCATAATCGGGCAGTCGCCGCAGCGCATATTTTACTCGACGTTGTTCCTCTTTCTATCGCCGTCCTATTGCTGGTGTTTTAGTGGGTGAATTATTAGGATGATGAAAAGAATGTTTACTTGACTGAATTGCAATTGGCAGCAAAAGTTCATAAGCTACTTATGTAGGCATAAATCGACGAGGTTCTACTTGGTTTTAACCGTGTTGTTCCCTTTAGCTCTTTATTAGGCGCTATGCAGCCATCTCAATTATCATATCTATGGCTACTGGATCTCTTCCCCCTCTTTCGATCTCGTGCATTCTAAGGATGTCGAAAGACAGTCTTCGTGGTTGCTATGCCCATCTTGTTCGCTTTGACAGCGCTAGTTAGGCCGTCTAGTGCTGTTCTCAGGATCCCACGTGCGGGTGTTCCACGCAGTGAGTCAGGCCCTGGGAGTAGCATCTGACGGAAATTCGTATCCTTCCCAAATTCCTATAACAAGTTTAGACTAATTTGTACCGCAGCTCAACACACCATTAAGTAACAAACTACAAGCAGTGATATACAAACGCTGAATCCATCTCTCTAGTACTCCGACGTGTATGAAAATGGTGCATCTTGTGAGTCAAACACTATTTCTCATTTGCCGAGCTGTCATGGACCGTAAAACGACTCCTACGCTGGCCCACCAATTGGCTTAGCCGCATTAGAACCTGGGGTAAAATTGTTCGAGAGGCTAATGTCACAATTGCAACGGAACTCATGCCTAGTCGATCGGACGGACTGCGCCGCTGAAACATAAAGCGAACCATGGTGGCTGCATACCCAGTTGTATAAGCGTAGTGTTAGAGATCTGTATTTAACATCAATAAAAGCAGTGATTGATATTACCCCTAATCATAGACACTACTAGTGCCAAATCTTCCCGCGTTGATATCCAGGGAATTGAACACTGTTGAACTCACCACATACACAGGTTCAGGGGGTAAGAATTCGTCCACAGGAGTCTACTTGAGCCCGGTCTGAATCTCATTACTAGAGCCAACAGACCTCCCATTGCTCGTAATGTTCTTTGAGGGCATAACAAGTGAAAAATGGAATCAAAGCACGCTTATTAAGCCTAGTCCGCTGTCGTTAATCATCAAAAATAGAAACCTTGCTGTAACCGCCTATGCAACAGCATGCGCAGTTGAAGCCTATTAGGAGCATGGTAAGGTACGAACGCGTATTTATTGATTATCTAAACTAGTCGCTACGAGTCTATTGTTATTAATAGATTAATACGCACATAGGAAGATTACGCTAGATATACAAGGAATTAACTATTCTAAAGCGCGAGATGCTGTTCCGTTCTCTGAGGATGCTTAGAGAAACATAGATCCTTAGCTTTGCGCTAGAAAATAGAAAAGCTATGATTTTCTAATAAAACGCGAAGAGGAAATAGTATTACTTCTAATAGAGATTAATAAACTTTGACAGGCTTCTATTAATAACTAAGTATAGAAATAGATTATAACGTATTCCACCACCGAGAGTGCCACCCCACCGAGAGTGCCACTTTTTCTTGGCATCGCGAACTTCACGTACGAAAGACAATGCCTCAACAACAGAACGTGATATTTACTCAGCAAGAGGGTAGGCTTACTCTAGCAGTTCAGGCCTATCGTACAGGCCAGTTTAAGAGCATTCGACGCGCTGCAGCAGCCTATAACGTCCATCATCAGCAGATCTCTCGGCGGCTTCAGGAATCACCTTTCGACCTACGACGCAGCCAAATTGCCAGAAGCTAACTAAATCTGAAGAGCAAACTNTCGTACGATACATTCTTGACCTAGACTCGCGAGGTATTTCGCCCCCGTCTAT